GTCAGTGCCTTTGAAGGTTTGGAATGCCTGTGTCAGGTCCATTCATAATCTTCCCTGTTCAAGACTATAAAAGTTCTGTTCTTTCAATTTGTTACTGTAGGACATTTCTTAAAGCCCCAGAATGCATCTGGTTGCTATATTTGAATTCCAAAGTAGCAGAATCTTTTCTATAAAGTGGTGGTGACCAAAATTATGCATGGAATTTAAAATGAGGCCATACTAGTACAATTGTTAAATAACATCTAGCTTTTCTAGAATATGCAAATGTGTCAACATAAACACCCAAGTCTTTTTATAAGTGGCCTTCTATGTTGGACATTGGCACAGACAGGTTTATCTAGGGTGTAATGATTTAGTTTTTTTATATTTGCGGGGTATTAATTACTTTCTGACAGCAGTGGGATTAAGGGAAGCTGTTACCATACCTGGTCATCTAAAACTATGGGCTTTTCCGCAGAGACTCTTGTCAGATCATGACATTTATGGCACCCAAGATGCCACTGCTGTGAAAAGTGGAGAAGTATTTTTGTTAAAGGTGCTGAAAAGTTTACCAGTCATCCAGGGGGCTATCTGTTATTTAGTCCTTATTATTTAATGTCTGTAGGAACTCCCACAGAGGTTATAATGTAGACGCAGATGTGTAACATAGAGGGCACTTTTCAAAGCTTTTAAAAATTCTCTGGGGAACAGATTCCAAAAAACGAAATTGAGATAGCAATGGGCCCTTCCTTTGAAAAGTTACACATTTGAAATGTATGTGTGTGTGTGTGCTGCTGAGTTTAAAGTACTGTAGCTCCCTGAAGAACATTTTTTCTGCTCAGCATGTTTCTAAATTTTACACTTCTGTTCAATTTTGCAGAATTGGAAATAACCCAAATGCAATTAGACATTCAGGTGTTTTGTAAGCAGAAGGCAGTAGTAGTGGTGAAAATGTGTCTGTTGTGGTGTCCGTCTTCATCAAGTTTCCAGTGTTTCAAAATCCCAAAAGACAGAGATTTTCCCTTTTCTTTGGTGTAATTTAGTAATTCTCTCCTCTGACCAGGGACTGCAGTTTTCTTATCTTCTTGTACAATGGTGATGTAACTGAGGAGTGTGTGATTATAATGAAGCATTTTGTCAGTAGCTCCAGGGAATCTTCAGGACTACTATTATCTTGTCTTGTACAGAGAAATGTTCAAATTGGTGGCTCTCATCACCTTGCCCTTTCCCTCCCCCTGCTCTCCTCCACAAACTGTACGACTTATTGTACTAATAAATAAGTGTACACAGCCAGCTTTCTAGAATGTTCTGACTTATGTTTAAAAGAAGCGATGTTGATTTAAAGTTTTCTGATTACAGATTTGTTGAGCATTAGATGTGCTCATTAAGTAATTTAATTTGAAAGACTCTTGATATATTTAAGTAGCAGTCAGTAAGTGGTTTGTGTGGAACAGGAGAGAGGTGCCTTTCAAACTGTCAGACTAGCCTCATCTTATGGTTTGTCTTGACTGGCTTAAATAAATACACATAAAATTTGTAAAAAGTAGCTTGACGATGTTTTCTAGAAATGGAGTTTCATTTCATCTCTTTTTTTTAGATATGTAATTAATTTAGATAAATCATTGATCAAAAGGGTGCCAAATGTTTCTGTGAATGGGATGATATCACGCTCTGTTGTTTCTATATGATCTACGTATGATTAAAGTTGTACTTTTCAGTCCCCAAACAATGCAATTTTACCTTTTGTTTATAAGAACACTTCCAAAAAGGCAAACAAGGCTGCCACAGCTCAGCTTTGGACAATACCGACACCGAAAGTGAAAATCAAAATGAAGCGTCTGCAAATGTCTGCTGTTTTCAAACACTGAACTTGCACAAACACTCTGCTGTGATCGTACCCAGGATATGGCGAGTAAAAAGACAGGAACAGTTCTGAAACTCCTTCAGTGCTATTAAGACTAAAAAAGACAGAATCGTGACACCTCAGTTACTTTTTTTGTTCCATCTGTAACTTTCTGAGCTTTGCTGCACCTTAAAAAAATACTCCAGAATCCTTTTCATACTTATTACCCAGGCAGACTAGATTATAAAGGTGTGTAGCTAGACCATGAAACCACAGGGACATGCTGATAACTGGCACATCATAGGCAATTGTGCTGCAAGTGCAGGGGTTTGTTTAGTGCTTGACAGATTTTTGCACATTTCCATTGCTCTCCAGCATGCCTTTTACTGTCATTCAAGTCTAGCATTCAGGAATCTAGGGCATGCCTGTAACTGTATTACATTACGGGTCTATTTCTGTACTATACAGGCAGGTTTGTTAAAGCACTCCCTTTTCTGTGTGGAGTCTGAATGATATTAAAGGGGGAGAGAGATTGAAGCCACAATGATTTATTGAGGTACTGCGCTGAATCGCTAGCAAAATCCATTTGGAACATTTTTGTTTTTCCTTGTCGGTTTCTTTTTGCTAATAGAGTTAGGCTGCATCTTCAAAAGCTTGCATAATCGGCATATTACCCTATATTATTCAATATTTCAGTTCTTGCCTTTTGAAAAACAAGTAGCGCTAATAAAAAAAAATCTTCATTTGTGTTCATGGTTCTGCCACGTCTTGGCTCACTCCACCTTTTTGTAATTTGTACACGGTGGTATGAAAAGGGCTTAGTGTTTCTAAGCTTTTATCCTTCTACCACAAAGGTAGTTCAATGTGGCGTACTAGTCTGTTTACATCGCTGGAGGTTTGGCTTGGTGATCGTGCTGTGCCAGTTGTGTGAATTTTGCTGGAAAACAGACTTCATTTGTGCTGCTGAAGCCCAGAGGCCTAATCCTGCTCCGTCCGGTCTGGGGGAGGAATGCAGTGTATCAAGTAGGGCACGCTCAGTAGACCTGGGAACAAGCAGGCATCTTTCGACAGGGTAGGTGGAAGCATTTCTCCAGCAGGCCTGCTGTGTAAAGAGGTTGTGAGCCGTCTTTGTTTGTGAACAGGGCAAAAGCTGTGTTATGACAATGGATGACAAAGTGTCTAATGACAGGTACGGGCCAGGTGATACATGAACTCCCCTGTCTGGTGTCCCTTGTTTAGCTCATACCGAAGGGTCAGGGTTGAAGGTGCTCGATGCATGTTCTATCAAGGCCAAATCAAAACATGCAGTGTTAAAACAGGTCTGAGAGAGCTGTTTTTTTCTTTTTAGAATGAATAAAAAAAAGTTGCTTTCTAATGGTAAGATACAGGCTATACATCGGACAGAAATCGGAATTCAAGCAAGGTCTCCTTTGTTCGTAGTCGGATGTGGACAGTGGAATTTGATGCCAATAACATTGGCTTTACAAATTATGAACCGAAGAAGATTCCCATTGAAAACAAAAGGCACCGTGTCGGATTTAAAAGAAGGATTTCAGAGATGAGCTTGTGATATGCCCTTAGGCCTGTACTTCAGAGTCTTATTCAATAATATAGTTGTACAAATATAATCTACTACAGTCGTAAGTACAATTCAGATAAGACCAACATCAACATGTTTGTCAAAGCAAGTTATAGCCTATTCCATGAAAGCATTGATCAGACACCAGCCTGCTATAGCACAATACTCGACAGGCTCTCTAATACAAAATACACAGGGTATTTCCTGAATCTGACAGATCTAATTATGGATGATAAGAAACAGTATTAAGGTGACACATGGTCTTATCTCTTCTGAAAAATCAGATTGTTTCCTTCATTTTCAGTTTGTGTGACCTCCAATGTAGAGATTATAATGCAGCATTTAGTGGTTGTTAATGCACTACAGAGTTCTTTAAAGGTGTGCAAGCCTTTATTTTATACTTTGCCAACCTGTTCACACTGCTAGCAGGAAAACCAGCTGCTTTTAAAAAATGTCAAGGAATGCTGCTAGAAAAAGCACTGTAAAATAGCATGTGTGTGTTTGCCAGATATTCAATACTGCTTACTCAGGTCTCCTGCACTCACTGGAGAGAAACCTCTCTATTGTAGCCTGAGTGTAGTGTGTGGTAGAATCCTTTATCCTTGTAGTAACATAATCTCTGGACAAATTGCACTTTAATTCCAGTTACAGTATGAATATAGACTTGGCTGTTAAATGCACTGTTAGTCTAAACTGCAGTTTGACTTTTATATAGATGAATGTCTTTGAGCTTACAGTGAAATAGATACATGCTGCAGGCAGTATATTGATTTGCCATTCCCCTGGGTCCTTTAGAAATCTAGAACTGGACTTTTACTGGGGACGCACGTCAAACAGGAACCTTGTTTGTATGTTTTTAAAAAATATATATTTTATAGCTACACTCGGTATTCTTGATTGTAGCAAGAACTGTACACAAGCATGCTCACAGTTTTGCAATTTGCAGTTGAATCGAATCTCTATAGTGTGGATCGTGGAGTGACTTCTTTTATTTTTAAATTTTGTTCATGCTTAGCCAATTTTCCTTTTAACCTATAAAAGGTTTGTACAACTCAAATTTGGATTAGTGAATCAACATTTGACATAGCTAAAAATTGTCTTTTTTTGTGTTTTACTCCTGTGAAATTGTTTTTCGTTTCATGTTACATCACTAAATCAAATTCAAGTGCTTTGGCTAGGTTGTTAAGAAATCTGGACAACAAATGGGATTGTAACTTGTTCCATTTGTTTATAAATTGAACTTGTTTTTCACAGTTAGCTCAGTTTTAGTATGGTAACCAAGGGGTTTTGCGAGCAGAACTGACTGTACAGTCTCTTGTCTCAAAATTGTGCAGATGATTTTGCAGAAGGGTTTGCACAACCCTTTTTGAACAGAAATGGGGAATAGCTGTATTACTGCCCGATGAGATTTCCCTCAAGCAGATAGCGCCTTTTCAGAGCGCACCAGTGAGGTAAAGTGCTTTTCAAATTTCCTGACTGAGCTTGTAAAACACTGGATCATTTCACCGGCACAATTGAGAATAATTGCCAGCAAGGAAGAACTTGTGCTAAGCGGTGTGCCCTGCAGCGTGCTGATTCCACTGTCTTTTATTTTAACAGAAACCTGAGCCACAACAAGCTGACAGCGATCGATCAGGCTGCCCTCTCCCGGCTCCCCAACCTCCAAGAAGTGTAAGTATCGTAGGCCGCCAAGACTCTGCTCAGGAGTCGAAGAGAGAAAAGAAAAAAAAAGCTTAATGCACGCTTTCCTAGCTCCGGTGTCATCTTGTTAATTTGCATCAATGTGTTTGTCTTTTCACGGGTGTGTTTTCATAACAGCGTCACTTTAAGAAAATCAATTGGCCATACACAACTAACCCATTAACATAGTACAAAGCGGTTAAAGATTTTTCTCTAATGGACTACATCCTTTCTCCTCCACTGTGCACTCTGCGTGTTCTGTTTGTTGGCAGTGATTATATACTCATGATATTAAGTGGTTATATTTTAGCAGATCTGTGCATCTCCATTGTAAATGCATGAAAACAGCTGACCTACGGGGGGTGCCCATTTGCCTTAGTTTGTCCGCCTTATGTTCAAAGCTGTAGTAAAAGCCTGGACTGAAATGTAGCTAGCTACACACAGCCGCTCGACCTCTTGCATTTTTTTAATACCTCTCACAACCATCTAGTTCTGTTAGATTGGATACTGTAACCCCCATGGTTTCATGTACCAGACTTTGCAATGAGACTAATTGGAAGTTAAGAAGTGGTTTGCTATTTTAAGCTATCTCCATTAAAACTTGACACCAGGCAGAAACCTGGGCTGTAAATATTTTATACTGAAAAGCCCCGTCTGTGACCATTCAGGAGAAGCCTTCTTTAAAAGCAAAAATGTTAGTCAAAAAGTACACCTAACAGATCTTTTTATTTTGGTTCTTCTTCTTATTCCAGGATGGCCAATTATTTTTCCCATTCTCTGCAAATTAATTTGGAATAGCCAATTCATTTTCGTTCCCAGGTGTCTGATATTCCCATTTTTGTGTCATAATTTTACCATTAATGGTGAGGAGTGGTGCGAGTGGGATTGCTGTGCTACAGTTGAAAATGTTTTGAACACCTTAAATAACCTAAATGTTTGTTTTCCCTCTTTTTTAGACATTTAGAGCACAACAAGCTAACAGCCATTCCATCATTTGGAACTGCCTCTTCTAAGATCGTTTCCCTGTATCTGTAAGTAAGCTTTATCTAACACAGTACCAGTACTTCATGAATATTAATGGAGTGAGTGGTAACATAGGAAGCTGTAAGACTGCATGTCCGTTCAATTTTAATTAAAGCCAGAAACACACTCTAAGAAACTTCTGCCTGTTTTAAGGGGTTTGTTACAAATCATTCACGAGTTTGTTATTTGTATCAAAATTGTCCATGTCACAAATAATTTAATGTATTTTCCTGTTGAGATAGAGGCAAGAATAGACAGTACTCTGTATGTGCCTTACAGACATTTTTATGAATTATTTTTTTTTTAAAAAAGGCCTGTTTCTAAAAACTGTAAATTCATGCCATCTCATTTCTACTTCAATATTAGCATGGTTAGCTTAGAAAGATTTACACATTTGAAGCAATATTCAATTTTAAAATTAATCTAGATGGAAATATGTTTTCCCTCTTGAGGCTGTTTCTTTTTTCTGGTGGACGTTATAATATGATACAGGATTCTGACTGCATTGTACATTCTGCTAATTACCTTTTTTTCTTGCATTTGTTTCATGTGGCCTCCTGAAAGTGGGATTAGAAAACCACACTGAGTGACAATAAAATATTTGTTTTGTTTTTTTTTTGCTGGAATTATGCTCTGCTTTCAGCCTGGCCTGTATTCAAATCAGCGCACCTGGAACGAGTTTAGTGTTTACAGTACACAGGATTGCCTGTTCTATTTCACATGGCCTGGAGATGCCTTTCAGTTTGCCATTAACTCTTACTGTGTTGTGAGACACTGGGTTTTAAAGTGATAGTGTTCAGGTTCAGACTTCGAAGGGCTTATATACGTTGATGCTGTCGTGCTGTATACAATCTGTAGTGGGTAGTGGTTCACTCTGATGTTGTTTATTCCTTTTCATACTGTAATTGAAACGGTTCCTGAAGTTCGGGACTGCGGGTTTACTTCAGAAAAGTGGGTCTTTTCCTGGTCAAAACGTACTGACTCTTATGACTTTCTTAATAGCTTTGCTCCTCTCTCTTTCATCTGCCCTCAGAGGGGCATTTAGCCAGAATTGACTTGAATCAGATTGACTTGATTTAAAGCCAAAGAAACAATTCGATCCATGCACAGAATTCCATTTTGTTGGCAGAGTGTAAACTGGTCTGGTGAGAAAAACCTGTGCAGAAATGTATGAATATACACAAAAAATATCTTTAATGACTCTATATTACTTTGTCAACATTGACTTTATTTCCCATTTTATTTCTAAACCACTTGAAACATTTGGTTATGTTTGCCTCACAATGTCATAATGCAGCCTCCTCTTTTGTGTGTCAATGTGAGACTGCAAATCTGGGTTTCGTTATTTGGATTGGGAGTTTGGTTACAATTATATGAACCTGGTATCCAATGGGAGCGTGCGCGCTGGCATCTTGGAATAAATGTATTGCCCTATTTGGGAAATGTAATCCCCAGGCATGTGCATGTTCCTCAGCTGCAATTCACTGGATGAGTTTGGTGCTCCCAGAACAGACTGGGCTTGCTTCAGAGGCATGATTGAACTGCCGTCCTCCTGACATGGTGACGTCTGTAAGCCATACCTTGTCGCTCTGCGGCTGACTTCTTTTCCTGTCGACTCATTCTCATGTGTTGCAGAAGAATTCTAACTTCTCAGTCAACCAGAAAAAGCCACAAGTTGTTATTGCCTAGTAACACCAGAAGACCTCTTGAGTTCTGTTTCACCTATTTATTTTCAGGTGTTTTCACCTTCTGCAAGTTCCAGACTCCCACAACCCTTTGTGTAAAGAAGTGCCTCCAGTTTTTTAATTTTCTATGCTTTTCCAGGCAGTTTCCTCCATGTATCATCTTAAAAAAATAGATTATTAAAACAAAGCTGGAGTTTCTGTAATGAAATTTAATACTTACCCATTTCTTAGCACTTTAGAATTTAAAGGCATACTGTTTGACAAAATGTATTTTTAGATCTTAAGGCATAGTTACACATATAAAAAATTTTAGACAGAAAAATGCTCATTATAGAAGTCGAGTGCTTAGAGCGGTACTACACGGAACAAAATCAGAAGTGAGTGGGCTTTTTTTGGACTGGTTTGATGCCTGTTGCTATGATGTGATGCACTGTGGGAAAGGCAGAGCTGCTGAAAACACAGCTGAAAGGAGTCCACAGCCACCATTGTCAATCAGGGGTTTACTGTAAAACCATGGGGCAGAGTCAAGCATGACATCATTCTTGGAAGAGACTGGGGCTAAAATCATATTCTCAGTTTCCGCTTGTGAATCTAGCAGTGTAGATGCGAGTATCTACTCACAGATGTGTGATTTTACCCAGGATTCTTTTGCTATCTGTACATTAACTGGACTGGGACTCAAACAGGAGCAGGGTTCCAAAAGATAAAACAGACCAATGAAGTGGCAACAAAGAAATCACCAGGGTGAAAGTTTTCAGTGCTCTTTAACTTTAAGAAATGAAAGTATGAGTTTTAACGTTTGCTCTTCAGGGGCAGTGTCCACATACATTATCTTGAAGGGGTAAGCTTGAGAAATACAACGACGTGCAGAGTGACGCATGTCTCTTGCCAAATGTGATTTGGTATTCAAAAGCAGGACCCCAGCGGGAGGTAATGAGAAATCAGTTACATCTGTTATATTCTTGTTTTCCACACTCTAACTGGAAAATGATGCATTTCAGTTGGAAACAAAGACTGAAAACGTCCATGTGGCTGTTGAAAATAGAACATTTTAGATAAAAACACCAGGTCAGTGTGAGGAAACCGTGATGTCAGGGTCTGTCATGGCCGGGCTCGGTTTACTTCTCCATCTTATCTCCCTGTTGTAGACAGAGGTTAGGTGCTGAGGTGTTCCAGTGTGGCTGCAGTAAACCCGCTGACAGGAAAGACAAGTCCTTTCAGCAGGACTTGTACTTCACCTGTGGAATGAGCTAAACCACATGTCTTCACACTAATACACTTAAGCTGCTGCTTGGTTTAGACTTTTATTAACTAGTTTTACTTTTTGGTACTATTTACCTAGCTAGTTTCAAACTATAGCAATGCAGTCGCCATTTGTTTAATTTTCAATGAAACAACTTTTCCTGAAACTTATGTGAATGTACTATTCTGTCAGAATATATCATTTTTTAAAAAGCAGATCTCTTTTGTTTGTAAAAATAAGATTTAAACATCCTGTTTTTTACTTCCAGAGATTTAGACAGCAAGACCTAATTCCAGTTTAGTGTGCGTAAAGATTATTAACAGTTAGCACTATGGCAAAGACATATATGTTTGTTTCCTAATGCAGTCTAAAAGATGTAATGTTTATGTGGGTTTTTCTGGCTGTCTGTGAACTTGGCACAGCACTTTGATGGAAAGCCTGGGGTTGTCTTTTATTAGGGACCATCCTAGACACTTGTTGTTCTTGCTTTGATCTAGTTATTGTGTAGTTCATGAAGCAGATAAGCTGATCTTGGTGTAAACCGGCTAATCTTCAAGATCTGTAGCTTTAGCTAGCTTAATGGGAATAATGGGTTCAAATGGTAGTGAACATAAGAGATCCTACTGACTGGAGTGCAGAAGAGGTGACAATAATCATGAAAACAAAAGCAAATTTTGCAGTGCTCTGGAAAATTGTCCTTTATTAATGGAGATGTGTTGTTCTTTTTTAATTTGAAATCTAAATTTATTTTTATTTTGTCAATTGCAGGGAGTTTGAAAAAGCAATGAAACAAGTTTTTAATGTTTAACGACAAGTGTTCTTGATCACTGACTTTTGTTTCTCATGTGGCTTCTCTCTTTGTTCATTTTAGAGAGCGGCTCAGGGGACTGTCATGGTCAATAACCCAGCTCTGGATAGATAAGAGAAGTTAGGAGTTTGAGAGATTCAAATCAAAAAGCTGAACATGCTTTTTGTTTTATTGTTTTAGAAAGTAATAAACACCATAAACTGTTCTGGAAAGCTAAAGTTGTAATCCATGTCAAATGGATTTATTATTAGTCATGTCGGTCTGGGGGGTGGGGGTGGGAGGGGAAAAAGGTTTTGACTGACTACTTAGGAAACCCATTGTGCTGTCTGAGGTACAGCACAATTCTGCTTTATTCCACCATTGACATTATTTTACTCCAAAGGTCACCAGCTGTTAAAACTGCCCCCACCCTTTTATTAATGCAGACTCAGTGCACAGTGACCACAACAATCCACTTGTCTGCAGGAATCCATCCCCTCTGTGTGAGCTGCCCTCCTGCTGGGTCTGGCACATTCTCAGGCCCTCTGCAGATAAATTACATCTCTGTTTACTCAGGTGGACGGGGTTCAACAGGAAAACAGCAAAAGAAAGAGCTAGACTTAAAACCAGAAGCAGTTTGAACAGTAAACACAGGAAAATGATCTTCCCTGTACTGGGACATTTGAAGGAGGAGAAACGGTAGCAGAATGAATTACTAGGTCCCTGTAAGAGAACTAGTGAGCATCTTTCCACTACCTATGCATCTGGAGAGCCTAAAGTATTGTCTGAACCATAGCAGATGCGAACAGATTGACTAAAGAGTCTTCTTTGTGTGTGTGTAGGGTTTGAGTAGAATTCTGCTAAGAATAACGCTTTGTGTACCCAATGAAGTGTGAGCAGTTTGAAACTAAACAGCATCAAGCAAGCCATTTTAAAAGCAAGGCTTATGCTGTGTAGTTCCTTTTAAGTTTTGTGAAACACTCCTCCAGTCCAGGTTGGTTTAATCTGTTGAATCTAGTAGGCTGTCTTTGTTTTCTTTAGTATTTGGTGGGTGTCAAATCAGAATGTGGTGGAATTATATTATTAGGTCGCAGTATCACACTGTCAGCGCTGGCAGTATCGCTGCCAGGGGTCGATGGGAAGCGCGTCATGTGCCCCATCTGTGATAACTGTCTTGATTCTCATGAGGATGGCAGGGGCCCGCAGGGAATCGGAGGTCAGTTTGGAGGGGAGGTGGTGCTGTAACTCTACCTGATGTCTCGGGGATCTGCCGGCTGTGGAATGTTTGTTACGTGTCATGTAACACCAGCTTTGATCTCCGTTCCTGTAATTCTTGGGCACGGCTTTCCTGAGAGACACTGGACCCCGTTTGTCCTTCGGTAGCTGCCGACTATAACTCTTTGTGTCAGGAGTTGAGGATTGGTGTAGTTCAGGAGTTGACACGGCGAAACTGCAGGTTTTATTTGTGTGGGTGTGTGTGTAGTCCATCAACAAAAACAAAAAGGAAATGTCCGAAAATCCAAGCAGGAGAGGGATCAAGTGCTATTCCGTTGTGCTCGGACAGATGGAAATGAATATTCGACGATGGGAGCATGCCCTCTTGTTGCTCCTGTGGAGAGATTTTTTTTACAGGAGTAAATCATTCTGCCGTTCATCAGATTTCCTCTTGTGATATGTGATGGACTGGTTCTGAGTTCTAATGATTTGTAAACAGAGATGTGTACTTGAAATTACACTCCAGCTGTAAATATTGTTCTTTTCAAGCTTTCAGACCTTTTCCACTTTGTAGTAATACACAATAGTTGCTAAAAACAGCAGCTACAAATCTTAAACGTGCAGGAGAACAGTGGCCATGTTACATCCCATCCCATAAAGTACATCTTCCAAAGTGTTTCAGAGAGTGTAAACCCAACACTGATGACTTTTTACTCAATAATGTGAATTTACCAATTTCTTCCTTGGCCTACTGATAATTTTATTTTTTATATTGATGTTTTTGCTATTTATTCTAATATTGTAGTGAAGCTAAAGGAAAAGCCCAAATGAGTAAAAATTCCTGCACTGATTTGATACCAAATAAAAATTAATAATTACATTTGGAAGCATAGAAAGTACCTCAACAAAAGAAATCAAAGTCCTGTTGTAACTTTCTTTGAAGTGAGTGTCCACTCTGTGTCCAGTTGCTCTAAAGAGTGAACTCTTTTGTATATGTGGGTTTGCTTGCTGTAGACACCCTTACACAAACACACCTCAAGGTTCCAGTAGCTTTAGCAACAAATGAAAAGCTAGGGCCGTATGTGTTGAAATCCGGTGTGCTGGACATTTATCCAGATCGTAGGCCTCTCAGAAGTCTCCCAAGCAGAAGAAAGTGTTGAGTATCCCTGTAGATAAATAGCTTAAAACAAGCTAGAGCTGCTCTTCACTTGAGTGTGTTTGTTGACACAAGACCTTACTCTGGCTGGCGTATTTTAGTTGAAAGTTCTTTGATTGGTCCAAGAGAGGTCAACTCCTGATTGCAGCGAGGCTACAAACTGATTTTCAGCTGTGGTGTGAAACGGGAGGGGATTCTTATGTATACTTCATCACAAGATTAAGGGTTCTTAGCTTAGCTGTTTGTATGAAGCACTGACTAATCACATCCTTTATGTGCCAGAAGATAAAACAGTTCTAAAAAGATGCAAAAATTGATATTTTAACTTATTTCCACCAATTTGAAGCACTGTACTAACCATCTGATGACAGAGATCTTACACATGTACAGTCTGAATACTGTAAAGCTGGAAAAAGAAGGGAAAGTTTGGAACTAAGCAATTGTAACTGTATTAACTCTAAAGGAAGTGCTGAGCAGTAAGTTTTTAGAAGTATTTATAACAATCTTCATGTGTCAATGTGTTTCCTGTTGTCTTCCTAAGGCACCACAACAAGATCAGGAACATTGAAGCTGATCAGCTGAAGGTCTTCACGTCCTTGGAAACACTGGACTTGAACAATAACAACATCACTGAAATAAGGAACAACTGCTTGCCTTCTGGACTGCAAATTAAAAATCTGTATGTTGCTTGATTTTTTTCTGGACCAGTTAGAAGTGAGATGCTATTAAGTTTAACTCCCTCTTTAAAAAATATTTCCTCCAAACTGAAATACTATTTTAGCCATCTGCCGACAGAGATCTTGCTGATGTATTAAATAAACACTATAAATATTTTCTGGCTGAAAACAATACAGTTTCACAAATTTTGCACTTTTCTTACAGTGATATAAATATTTTGGAGTAAATTTGCCTCTGTGAATTTTCATTGTTGCAGGTACCTTGGCAGCAACAGAATTAGTACTCTTGAAGGTAAAGCCTTTGATAATCTGTCACAGTCTTTGCAAGTCCTTCGTTTAAGCAAAAATTGGATTGAAAAACTCCCCGTCAAAGGATTCCAGCTACCCCAGTTAACACAACTGTGAGTAACACTTTCTGTATGTATACACTATATAAATGTGGATTTAATAATTATGTCTTTAAGATACTTATTTTTTTTTTCTTGTGGGTGGGGGCTATATTTGTTTGCATTCATCAGAATGACCAGAGAAACAGGACAATAAAACCAAACACGGAAAAAAAATGATTTCTGGGCTTTAGGTTAAGTTAATTTTGTATGTTTTTGAAGGACTTCATTTTTCTGTGTTTTTTCCAGGTGTATATTTTCCCTAGAATACACCTATTTATAGAAAGACACATCTATGTCTCATCCCATGCATGAAATAGATCATTTGTAATGAAAATCTTTTCCGTTGACAGAGAGTCAGAGAGTTTCTTTTCTCTTAAAACCTTCTGTCTGCTTTCTGGTAACTAAAACACTGTTACCCAGGTGGTCAAGCAAGTATCGTATCACCAGCCAATTGTGAACATGAGGTAGGCCACACAAAGAAGCCTCAGAGATGTTTATTGTCAGGATGCTCAAAGGCTTTGATATGAAAACCTAATTTCCTCCAGGTGCAGATAGGTGATGAGATAAGATGAGTGCCTGGAAAAATAAGACGTGTTTTTAAATGGGGAGAAAAAATGTACGTGTTCAATATTGTTGGGGTTTTTTTTTCATCCTTTATTCCAGCGAGCTGAATCGGAATAAGCTACGTCTAATCGAGGGCCTGACTTTTCAAGGCCTGGACAGTCTGGAAGTGCTGAAATTGCAGCGAAACAACATCAGCAAGCTCACTGATGGTGCCTTCTGGGGGCTTGGAAAGATGAAAGTGCTGTAAGTCTCTTCAGAAGTGTGCGCCATTTGCACAGCTGCGTTTGAAGCTACCAGGTCAAAGTATTGTGCTCAAGAAGGGTAGCGGTGGTCTTCATTTTGGTGCCTTCAACTCATGACTAACTAGGTTCAGAGCAACTAACCATTGCTCTAGCCCACCCTGCTAGCTATGACAAGTTCAGAAAATGCTAATAGGGTGTTAGAAATAGAAATTCAGAAGTGAAGAGCAGCCATTTATGTATGGACTCTTCAAGAAAAGGCTGATCATTTTAATTTATCAGTCACAGCTCTGGGTTTGGTACCATTGAATTAGTAAATTATATTTTTTGTCCCACCTGGCATTTAGAATATGGCCACAGCAGCAATGAACATTAAAAACTTCGAAACAGCAAGTACTTGAAGAGGACATGTATCGTATAAAAAACTGTTTTTATACCAAGAAAAGAAGCACCCAATCTTGTATGTTTTGAAGCTTCGATAAAATGTATACAGTAGCACCTTAGAGAGAGGTTATGAACGTGGCTGCTCAGCCGCCCTCTTGCTCAGAATCGCGAGTGTGGAGTTATACATTTGAGGTAAAAAAGAAGTTCCAGAAAGCTAGAAAATATTAATTCATCTTCCTGCTGAAGTTTCTCTTTATTTTAGTAGGGGTGCTTTACCACTTGTAAGAGCAGTAGCAGCAACCAGGGTTGCCATGGAGGTCTGCCTTCTTAGTACGGACAAGGCCTAGCCTCGCTCAGATTTTTTAGATCTGACGAGATCAGATTACAAAGTAGTAGGTATTTGAAAAGCCACAAGCTCTGGAGTGGTGCCCATGAGGGTCAGCTATGATGAGAGCAGAGGAGCGACCCTCTCTAATGTGAATGCAAGCCTGTGTGCACACAGGAGTTTGCAGGAACTTCAGGTTGGCTTGGACCTGAGTGAATCTTGGCTTCCTAATTCATCAACCCTACACCTTAATGTCACTGAGCCAGCTGGTGGACTTAGGAACTGTCTTAGGGAATCATGGTTGTATTTGGCTAGTCTGGTTACCCAGACTCAGACCTGTGATGTCTACATCATACAAATCAACGTGAAGTTGGAGTAAGTGCCTCTAACCTGTGAGCTGCTTGGAGCCCATATCTCTTCTTGTTGTTGCCAGAAAAATAAAATAAAGTCCTGAGGACCTCGTATATCCATACATGCATACATGTGTGTTTAATTTGTTAAACTGAGAGATCCCCTGACGTCTCACACTCTGTCTGCCCACACTTGTCGATGAGCGATTTTAATCAGAAAACCAAGACGGTTGTTTGGCAGCTGCCTGAGGATACCCAAGCTGTCTTTGTGCCAACCTGCCTGGGTCACACTCTGGCAATTCCCTATTCTTTCCAGGTGGAGACATCAATCCCAATGAGCTGCTTGGGGGAATGTGTCCATTTCTATTCAAACTATTTTTCAGAGGCCTTGATTTGTGGTCCGTTAACCACTTTAGGTTAATCTACTAAAACAGCACCTGTCTTTTTCAAGCTGTTGTTTTTGCAAAGCTTAAAACTCTCATGTGTAAACTGGATGGGGCAATAAAAAAAAACTAAACTTTTTAACAAACATAATTGGAAAAATAATGGATTTTGTTGAGCCCTCTGACCTCCTCCTCTTTGTCTCGGTTTTCTTCAGCCACCTGGATTACAACAGCCTGACAGAGGTGAACAGCGGCTCTCTGTACGGACTCTTCAATCTACTTCATCTCTACCTGAATAACAACTCCATATCCCACATCAACCCAGACGGATGGGGGTTTTGCAAAAAACTCAAGGAGTTGTAAGTGGAACTACACGAAAAACGAAAGAACACGGAACAGAGTTTCTGCCTAATTTCATTCAGGATTACAAGTGATAAACTAGTCACTTCATGTAGGAATTCAGGCAACCCTCTTTTTCTTTCACAGCTAAGCTCTCGTTATCCTATAATGAGGTTACAGGGTACTTTAGTGCTTGAAAAGTCTTATTCGCTCTTAATAAACAAAGGCAGAAAGTATAATCTTGTGTTGGCACAGTTGTCAAAAGTACAGTGTAAATCTTTGAAAGTTCTCAATGAGAGTTAATTGTGCTTTTCCAAGAAGGTCAATATATTTTAGTAGATCTCTTTTTTGAATGTTGTATGAGGCTGAAAGTCATGAGAATCGATGTATAGGTGAAAATATTGTAATCAGCTACTTACTTTGAGTAGTGTACATGTAGGTCTATTTATTGTACCTGTTTAATTTAATTATCATACAAGATACACATAGTAGTTCGATGTTCTCTGCTTGTTTAACCACTAGAAACAATCTGCTGCTTTTAGGTCTTCAACATGGTTTAATTAGACTCCTTCTGAATGACAGATTATATTACAAAGGTGGTGTGACACAATGGCTAAACATGTGAGGTTGCTGTAATGCCTGCAGACAGGTTTTTCACCAAAACAGAGGTGAATTGTTCTTTCCAAATATAGACAATCATCTTATTTCAAGCCCTTTCTAATGCAAACCTCTGTGGAAAAGATTATACTTGTTTAATAAACTTGCTAGAGTCCAGGAGATCAGTACTAGGATCTCCCTGAGAGCAATAACTCCTGCAGTGAAACTTCCCAGCTGCTGGCTTACATTGACAGATCATGCAGAAGCCCCTTATTCTTGAGTCAAAAGGGGATCGTATTGTAGGCAAGGCTTGTTAGTAAGACAGTTGAAAGTTATGCAATCGGCAAAGAACCAATTCTGAGAATGGCTTCTAAAAGACAGGAATCAGTTTTTATGCATTGGCTCAAGAATTTCATCCTGCGATCATGGTCTGATCTGTAGTGGCTGCACTTACTATTGACACAGGCTTTGCTTTCCTAAACACAAAGATGACAAAAGCATGGCTCTGCAGAGAGGTTTTAAAAACAGATCTACTTTTGAGTAATCTCAGAATTGCAATTATGAGGAACAACTTGAATATCACAATTAGGTGATAAGTGGGGGACTGTGATTTAAAAGGAAGCTGTTCTGTTGCTGAAAGAGGTTAGTAAAATCTTTCACAAATCACAGATCTGTACTTTTGCTACTCTGTCAAAGGGACTGTAATAAGCGTACTGTGGTATCAGTTGTGTCTTTACCACTCTTTGCATTCACTTTGAGGTTAAGATGAATCTTCTTATGTGCTGTCATTACGTTTCAAGAAAGCCTATATGGCAGAACATTTTGGAAGTACAGTCCACATGTTTAGCCATTCTGCCTGTAGCCTGAGACCTGTAAAGAACGTATATATTGGATTTAATTTGCTTTAATTGTAGGGAGCTGAGCATTTTCTAATCCTGTTCTACTCAGTTCATGGTCTTCAGTTTCCTGATTTTCTGTTTTTTTTCTCCACTCTTTTCCTCAGAGTTTTGTCCTATAACAGCCTCACACGTCTGGATGAGGGCAGCCTGGCAGTCCTGGGTGACCTGCAAATTCTTCGCCTGAGTCGCAACTCGATCAGCCACATTGCAGAAGGGGCCTTTCGGGGCCTGAGGACGCTGCGTCTCCTGTGAGTACTGCTGAGTACTGCCTTTCCTTCATCACTTAACACAGGAGTCCAGTCCCACAGACTGCTTCTACAGTACTCGACTCTTTTTAAATCAGTAATTAAACTTATTTTTCTTCATGGGTGTATGTTTATTGCTTATATGCTTTAATGACGTTTATGTATCCCACAAACGGCAAGTCTCTATAGAGTCATATCTAAGTTGTGCTTTATGTATCTATGAATGACGCAGATGCATTATTTATCTTTAAAAATAGTTGACTTTTTTTAACTGTTTTTGAAAAGCCGTTATTTGGAAATTTATTAAGCACAGGCCAGAAGGACGTTTTTTCCTATGCATTTTCTTTGTTGTTCTTTAGAACACAAATATGAATTTGTCCCAGAAATGCAAAGAATTTCTGTTATATGATGAAGTTTGGAAAATTCTGATCCAAAAGTCAATTCCAGTGGGGTTATCAGAAAAAAACGAGACCTTTAGGATTATATTGTGAACAGCTGTTCAGTTTGACTTTGATACGTGTGATGTAATTCTTTGTTCCGTTTCTTATGTGGTCTTCAAATTTTCTGCCTAGCTAAGAATCGCAGTTGCAACTGGGAACTGCACTCTTGGAATTTCAAAAGGGTTTTTTTTTTGGTTCCCACCAAACTTGGATGCACATGTTCTCAGTCAGTGGCTTCCCAAGAGAATCTCCTTTTAAAAAGAAAAGAAAAGCATAAAAGCCCTAATGGGACATTTCTCCCATACATTTTACTGCACACTTGAACTCCTCACAGGAGGGGAGCAGTCATAGTGGGGATGTTTGGCAAAGACCTTTTCCCGAAAAGGAAAAAAAAAATCAGTTGTATGCCTGCTGGATGAGGGTTTTCTCACAGTGGGGTGATAATCCAAAGTTTACATAGACCTTTTTATGATGGCTTGATGTTTCTAGTGGAGTGGGTGTGTGGGGAGGGGGGAGGGGGGGTGTCCTGTGAGAGGCCTGTGCAGGTTTTCTTCAGATGAGAACTGTTCAGAGTTAGCTCTGAAACCTTCCTTCACCCATTCAGAGAGAACTCTAATCTAATAATGAGAGAAACTGTCGGGTACTGCACCTGGTGAAAGAGAGCTGGGCATGCTTTAATTAGGACCTATTGTTGCCAGGGGATTGGCGAGCCTGCAGTGGGTGTGAAACTGCTGAAATGCAGAGCTATTCAAATAGAGGTCAGGCTGTAGGCCCTTGCACTGGCGTGATTAACTAGGCAAGTAGGCATTCAAGCCCAGCCAGCCAGAAAGAATAGGAAATTGGCAGCAAAGAAGGGAAAAGAATACAAAAAAGTAGAAAAGGACCCTTTAAAAAAAAATCAAAGGGTTTGTGATGTTAAAAAGAGTTTTCCTTCAGATAGTACAGGGAAAAAAAAGTCACAGAGAAGAGAAGGGTCTTTCTTTTCATTTCAGAATGCCATCCATTTACAAAAAACAGCATGTGTGGGGAAGTTAGTTAAGACCACAGTATAATGGTGTTTATGCATTACCTCCAGGCTTTCATAAGAGAAAAGAAACCTGAAAAACAAAGATACAACTACAGCTAAAGAAATTTGAAAGAGGGGTGTAGGAATTGGCCCTTCATGTAGGCATATTGTGAGTCCTTTTATCAATATACATGCAAAGGATTTAAGGTTTTGCTTTATTTCCAAAAATAAAATATGAATACAGTTTCAGTTGCCTATCGATACTGTAGTTTAAGGATTTTTTAAATTTACATTTTTTAATTTGTTTAGACATAATTAGCATTTCTACTGTGATGTGTTTAGCACCATGTATATGTAAATAAAATCACTAACTGACAATACTTTCAAAGTGAACATTGAACACCCTTTTTGTTTTGCAAAATAATTTGTTTGAAAGTAGAGGGTGGAGGAAAGTTAAAGCAGAACAACATTTTTGGTATCTGAACAGGTGAGGGGAGGGACTGAAATCTTTACTGTGAGTTTCCAAAACTGCAGCGCTATTTATCCTGAGGTTCTGTTGGAACGATGCGAGACTGCAAGGCAGCTTGTTGAATTCTCCTTTCTTCTTCTCCCCAGGGAGCTGGACCATAATGATATCTCGGGGACAATAGAAGATACTAATGGGGCCTTCACAGGACTGGACAGTTTGAGCAAGCTGTGAGTGTCTTGCTGTTTGACGTCTCTTTGAGCCTGTGAGACTGTGACTTGTCCTCTATTGTTCTTAGGCCTTGAGTCAGGATGACTTTGGGGTGAATTAAATCATCTGGCCGGGCCTGTGGAAAATCTCAAACTCCTGATTCTGACTGGAAACACTGAAAGCCCCTGTACTGGCCTAGTTCATGTTGCCCAGTCAGTGCCAGGATGTCTGAGTATTGTTTTCTGGAAAATTAGAATTCTAAATTCTATAGAATAATTATTTTACTAGGTATGTCTAAAATTATTACAGTGCCATTGTTATTTGTTCAGATATACTGTTCAGTGCTGTGGGCTGAAGCATTAAACTCTGAAAAGAGTATTAATATATTTTCATTTAGCAGCCAAAGATGTAGAAGTGTGTTTTTAAGTTGCACAGGTTTGACTCTGTAAGCAGGGAACATTTCCTGTTTATTTAAGGTTCACTGTATAGGTTTTACCATTTTAACATTTCTTATTCTTGGGTGTGTTTGTTATAGATGGTATAGATGCACTGCACATAGTCCTAAGCTGTACTCAAAATCCTGAAAAAAAAACCCATTTAAATGCAATTTTATTATAAGTAAACATAGATGCCTGTTAATTGCTTTCTGTGTTCGACCTGAAGAAGGGGAGAGTATTTAAAGTGATAACTGTTGGTTTTTATCTGTTTATTTTGTGTGTGTGTAATAATTATAACTCAAAAGCTGTCTCAAATCAATTGCATTAATCACAGTGGGGGAGTGTTGTTTTTTGGCCTTGGAGACAAGAAGGGGATTTTTATCCAACATTTCCATTTTTGGAAAAAATATTTAATTAGCAAGTCTTCTCAGGAATATATATTAAATTGCTAAGCACTCACATTTTGTGGCCAGTTAGGGACAATTAAGTAAATTAGCACAGTCTCTTCAGATTTTAAGGCCTATGTTTTATTTTAGTATTTTGTGCACATAGAAACAGTGATAAGTGCCAAGCCTAATTAGAAGTGAGTCTTTTTATCTTAGTACTGCAGTGTGCACTTGTGTTTTGAAATATAAGTAGGAATGCAGCATCAAAAGAAGTTCAGGTAAACAGCACTTCAGTCCCTATTGATTACATGTGTCCCACTGCACATATTAATAGAGCAAATGTCCTGTTTTTGAAATGGTCACAAGACCTTCGTGCCTTTCATTTTTGTCATAACTCTTGAGAAGCGGATATAAAAAAATAATTAATCATCACCTCTGCCTCACTGAAGATGTGAGAACCAGGCGCTTTGATCTAGAGGGGATTAGCCAGTGAAAGGATAGTCATGCACCCAAGCAATGAGAGTGTTATTCAGGGAAGAGAAGGTGCTAAATGAGTGAGTGGATAAGGCCGGCAACATCAAACAGGCTTTGTGAGCTCTGTCTCAACGCTTTCCAAGTGAGGAGCAAGTGGGGCGGTTTTAATGTGCTGTCCTGGCAAATGCCTCAGGAATCAAGAAAAAGACATAATTTATAGATGCAGGAAAGCCAGTGACTACCAATTGAAGGCGTGAAAGACAAACGGGAATATGAATATATTGACTGTTGCATATTATATTTCTGGAAATGCAGAAATAGTACCTGATTTTACATAATAAGTTATCATTAAATAATTATATTCAAATATCAAATATAAAATATGATATGTAGCATTCGACCCACTACAATTATGAAATTTATAGAAAATCTGCTTGTGCCTGCTGTTCATTTGCCATACCAACTTTGCTATATCTTATTTTCCTTCTTCTTATGTAAATATTTATATTTAGAGCAATTATTTTCAAAGTATTTGCTGGCAGCCAGTATTTAGGGGCACTGCAACCATTTAAATAAATTAAACTAAAAAATTACACGACTTGAGCACAAATGACGTCCAAAATAAAGAATTCTGTTAACATTTTAACTAATGTCTTAGTTACAGTTTTCTGGCAGCCTGGAGCTAGAGGACAATTTCTAAAGAGAAAGCAGCCGCAATTTGGCTCTGAATTCTAGCCCTTACATGGTATAAAGTGTCCTGGCCTTTATGCTAGATTTGCAGTGTGTTATGATGTGACTTCTTCAGACACACACAAACAGTAATTCTCTAAAAAAGTGTAAAGACAAGGCAGGGGAGCTAAAAGAAATGTCTAATGAGTTACCTTTCTGTATAAAGCAGAAAGCTGGTATTCCTTTTTTAAAAAAAAAACCTTGGGAGCAGAAGTGCCTTCTACTGCTAAACAAAAACCTGAAGATTTAGTCCTTAAAGTCAGGCATTTCGAAAACGGGTAGGCCTTTAGAATGGTAATTTGTTTCCTATTAAATATGCGTCTTTAGAAAGTTACCATGAAATTGGCTGCTAGCCAGTTTGAGCCTGGATTGCCAGAGGGGAGGCTTAGTGCAGATGTCTTTCTCAGGTTGGGACAGATCTAGTTTGGCTGAGCCCCTGGCTACCCATACTGAAGCCCCAACCTTTATGGGAAGTCAAATCCAGCATAGCCATATTAAACAGTTGAGATATGAGGAAGAGGCAAGAAGAAGCCCTGCGTCTTGTAGAAATTTGGTTTTAGAGAGACATAAATTTAGGAAAGAACATGCACAAACATTTTCCCTCTTAAAGTTTTTTTTTTTCTGGTAGCTGTTTAAGTATTTTTTTTTGTTGTTGTTTTTTTCTGAATCATAACTGATCATTTAGCAGATCTGAGAATCAGTTTGTGCAAGGGCAAAAGTGCCATGTTCCTCAAAGACTACATATCTATGGTTGATTTACTATATAAATATTGTTAATTTAATGCACTCCTCTGCTCTCTTGATGTAGTCTGTGTCTAACCAACTTCCTTCTCCAAAAAAATGTCTTGAGTGATGAAAGGTTGTTTATTTTTAAATATAAAATGAAAGCTGTGGTATTTGGACTTTTTTGTTGCAAGTAATCCCTATCCATTAAAACAGCTTCTGGTATGTTTAAAAGCAAGTAAGGATTGTTTGGTGCAGGCTGCTTCTGTTTCTAAGCTGATGTTTGTAGATTGGAAAATGATATAAGGCGCAGAGAGCAGTTGCTCAGCACCAAATCCACTTTTAAGGAACAGGAAAAAGCAGAAAGTCCAAGCTCCTGCCAGAATCCAGTCCTCTAGGAAAGATAGTTTGTCTTTTGAGGCAGGGGGTCTCGAATCCCTGAATCCCAGGCTTGTTTTTCCTGCGCAGGGAACGTCGTTTAACAATTGAACTGGGTCAGACCTTTAAAAATTGTGAAACTGCTTGTTCTCGGCTTGAACTCCTAAATCGACAGGGGCACTTCTATTACTTTATAAGCTGTGCAGAAACCTGTCTGTCTCTCTTGTGACCGGCTACTTTCAGGCGGTGCCCTGTCATCATTATTAAATTCTAATAAAGATAAAAGTCTTTCTTTTGAAGAGCAGCATAGGGCCAAAATACTTCACCCTCCTAATCTCCACAGTTCAGATTTCGAACACTTCAAACTGGTCTCTTATCAGATTCAGCCTAACTAATTGTGCTTCTTATTCCCTTCCACCTCCCCCTCCCCACCCCCGCCTGCTCTCCTATTTATCTGGACCCTACATGTTTGGAAACTGCAGAACTCTGTTTGGAAACAAGATCAAATCGGTGGCCAGGAAAGCATTCTCCGGCCTAGAGGCCCTCGAGCACCTGTGAGTATCCCAGAATGCCCTGTGTTTCAAGGGGAGCTGCCAAAAGTAGCTGCTTGAGAGGGCTGCTAGCAATTTAATAGCGTCTTTGTAAACTGAGAAGACCGGCCATTTGTGGAGGCCAGCTGCTTCCTTCTTCTTATAGTCAGTTTCAACTTTGGCCTTTTTTCCTGGTGCAGGGAACAAAGCTATTGAGCATATGGTCAGTTTCGTAGAAGAAATGGAATTTAATTTTTTTCACAGGCTCAGATTATTTAAAAATCCGGTTCTAGACTTTGATATTTCTTAAATGTTTAAGCAAGCCACATCTTTGTCCTTATTTAAACAATGTTCTCTGTCTACAGGTATTTGCATTTTAAAGGAATGCTTCAAATAGGAACAAAAATGTCATCTAACAGAAAGATTGGATAATGTATCCTGACGGAAAATTAAAAAATGTTTATATGAATAAGTCCAGAAAACATCAGGGTTATATTTATTCACATCACAGTATTTTGATTGTTGGTGCATTACAGTAGATTGCACTAACAGGACACTCGTATAGTGGGCTGTGTGGTTCTTGTTCATGGGTAGAGATTCTCAAGAGCAATTTCTTGGAGATTTCCTTGGCAGGTGGAACCAGGTGTCCAAACAAGTACCTAACCAAAATGTCCTGGTATTTGTTGGACAATCGCAGTACATGTAGATGTCTTTAAAAATTTTTACAATAGCCCCTCTCCCATATTTCACAGTGGGCAGGAGTATTCTCAACATGAGCACCACAATTTGTAACACTGATGAGCATCTCCAAAAGTTCAGTTTTGATCACATTTGACCATAAGAAAATTTTGACAATTTTGAGTCTCTTTCTAAGCCTCTCTTCCAGAAAACCCTCCTCCGTAGCAACCTGGTCATCAACGCCAGATTCATGCAGGTGTTGTAAAACAGCACTTTGTATCCTAAAAATGGCAGCTCCAACATTGTCTTCTGCTCCTTTTGTCTCATCGCTGGTTGTGGCAAAATACACTTGTGTCCATTTCCTGGCAGGATGGCCACTAAACCTGTAGCCTTTTTAAACAATAAACATTATCATGGAAAGAGCTGGATTCAGCTTTTGTGAATTATTTTTATTTAACGACCTTCTTATTTAATGGAGGTCAAGGGCCATTTGCCTGCAGTCTCTGACCTTAACCCTCATGATGGCGCTACTGCTGGATATCTTTCATGTGTTGTGTGCTTTCATACCCCAGGGGAGGCCTCTATATAGTTCCAAAGTGTTGTACATTGTGTTGCGTTTGTTGCATTTTAATTAAGGAAATAAATAGGTGTAAATAAATGTAGCCCTTGTGTTTTGGAATTCGTCGGATTATAACAAATATTACCGTACATTGTGCTGTGCTCTTACAATTACAGTGCGACACATTTAGAACTGCTTTAAATTAAAAACATTATCCAGTCTGGAACTCTGAGTTGGGATGTTTTTGTTCCTGTTTCAATCGGGGATATGAATAAATATGGTAGGTGCTGTATATTTGGTTTACTGTGAGTTATTGGTCTCAGTTTAATTGATTTTGTGTTCATTTTCTTTGTTTTCTCAATAGAAATCTGGGGAACAATGCAATTCGGTCAGTCCAGCCTGAGGCTTTTTCAAAAATGAAGAAACTCCGGGAGTTGTAAGTAAAAGCCATAATAAAACTGTACTTCAAGCTGTATGTTATGGGGTTGTTAAATACCCAAGGGAATGTTTAACAACCTTTTTGTTTCCTAAAGGGATTTTGTTTGACGTTGAATCCTGTTTAATTCTTAGTGTTCTTCATGTCAAAATGCACTTGCCACTGAAACAGTGTCTCAGTGCCTACAGTGATGTTCTTTCTAGTAAAATGCAGTTTATCTTTTGTCAAATGATACGTGAAATGATAACTGCATTCTATCACAAACTTGTCAACAGCATAAATTTGAAACCTTTATGCAGAGGATAATTAAAACATCTAAACATAATTTTGTACAAAGCTGTTACCTTTTGACTATTGGGATTTTTTTACTTTTGTTTTTGCATTGTGTTCTTAATGTTATTGTGAATTCTGTACAACAATCTTAGGATGCAGGGCTTGAAAAACCACGTACAAAATGCAATTTGATTAAATAATCAGTGAATGAGTTAACTGAAGTGACGAGTTTTCCAGTCCTCTCTCTTATTCAGTAATTGTTTTCTATTTCTTAATAGACACATAAACAGCAACAGTTTCCTGTGCGACTGTAACCTCAAGTGGTTCCCTGAGTGGCTCGTTGAGAAACGTTTGCAGTCGACTGTAATGGCCGTCTGTGCGCACCCCGAGTCTCTGAAAGGCACAAGTGTTTTCCAAGCTCCAGGTCCCAGCTTTGTGTGTGGTAAGTATATGTTTCCAAATGGATGTGTTGCAGCTTTTTAAGTGTGATCCTGTTACACAAAATCTTAAAAAGTATTTGAGCGAGTTGATCCAAAACTAAACGTAAGCATTGGTATGTTGGCTAAATGGACATGACAAGATGCTAAAACAATCCATGCAATGTTTATAAAAAAAATCAAGAATTGGCCTTACATGTTCTGATACAACAAGTAAACTTAACTGTTGCACTCCTTAATACACTGGCGTATGAATATTAAAAATAATAAAAGGGCTGTATGTCAACAGATGGACAGTTTAATACACAAATGTAACCGATTAAAACATACTGCCAGTATAAAATATACTGAGCATCAGAATAAACTTATCGTTCATATCTTCAACAAAGGTATCAAGAAAATAACATTTTTTATAGCAGGTGGGCTGACATGTTATCAAACAGGCATGTCCTGTGTAAATTCATTATGCCGATTAACACAGTTGGTCAGTGGTGGAGGGGATCTACAGTGAAAGTCACAGTAGCGTGTTTTGGAAGCAATACAAGCTGTACATCCTCTTGCAGAGCCTGTTCTTTGAGTCTAAAGGCCACACATTGTCCAGTAGGGCTCAAGTCTGCAGAGAGAATCCAAGACATAATGTTCACATTCTTATGTTACAAGAAAGACATTGTCACAAAAGCAGCACAGGACGTGCGCTGTCCTGCAGGAATGTTGTCATGTCAGCATGAGCCCACAGGAAGGGCAGCAAGTTGGGTCCCAAGACTTGATCAATGCAGCATCGTACAGTCAGGTTGCCATCAATCACTAGACACTCCTCCTCAGACCATCACACTTAGACCTCCTCATCAATTGGTCTGTTGTGCACAACAATTAGCGTGGCAGTCTTCACATCTGTGCTACAGTTGCTGATGTCCATCAGGGTGGTCTACATAAAACCTTGATTCATCTCTAAAAATGACTTGGCCCCATGTTGAGCAAGTGTATGCTGACCTTTTAGTCCTCCAGCATACCAATGGCTGAAAGCCTTGTTTTCTTGATAAGCAGGGCATATTGTTTTTTTTGTGTGTTTTTGTGTGTTCTTCACAAGGCTTGACATTCTATGTGACATCGCCACATCACCTGTGCCCAATCAACACTAACTAATGAGACGATTTAGAGTTTTTGTGACAATTATTCCAAAGCATCATGGTTAGTCTGAAAAGTCAGTTAATCAAATTGATTTCAAAACATTTACTTAATATCCAGTATCCGTGTGATTTATCTTTCTAGATGCATGCTTAAATTTAGCTTTTTTCTTTTGATATTCAATATTATATATTCTTTAACAGAAACTCTAACAAAAACCCTTTACAGAAAGCTTTCTGTATCTTTCTTTTTCTGTATATTGCTTTTGTTTGGAGTGGACTGGTGTGCCAATCTTAACACCACAACATAAACAGGACAATCAGGTTTGCCAACTTGCAAACATGCTGTTATAAAAAGTGTTTCAACATCAAAGACTCAATAAAGTGCCAGCTTCCTTCTGCATCAAAAAGCCTAGAGTTTTTTTCATTACTATACCAGCCGCCTGCCAGTTTAGAGTAGTAGACCCTGCACTACTTTAAATGCTTATTCAATACAATGTGATATCTATTGTATCTAGAGTCGCTTATAAGACACAGGACTCCAGATAAAGGCTACAGGCTCCCAAGGGCAGCAGGATGTTATAGAGGCCCTACATTTTGGGAAGCAGTGACAAGCTACTGTAACTCAGATGTTGTATGCAGTTTTATTTGTGAGTTATTGTGTGGCTGAGGGGTTCAGTAATTGGAACTGCTCTCTGCTCTCACCTGTGCAAAGCGCCTCTCCAGCTGATTTCTCCAGATTTCAGCCAACCATACTGCACAATAATTTAATTTAGTCCATTCTCGCTTTCTAAATAAATATTCCCAGTATATTCCCTCTGTTTGAAGTAGTCCACTGTTTCAGCATTTGCACTGAATCCATATTCAATTAATCTAATTACTTGCTGGGATTTGTACAACACCACAAGGCTTCCATTAGGTGCAGTAAAGACAATAGCTACACTATATATTAAAAGTGATTTTTTTTATTTACAACTTGGGAATAATTCCAAAATAACAGTTAAACCTTATGTGCTTAATATAGTTCTGTATATTTGTATTCCTCATTCCTCAACTGGATCTATCATTTTGGTTATATAGTCTGAGAAAAGTCAACAAAGTGGCTTTTTATTTAAGTGTCAAAACTAGCAGGGAAGTGCAGTAAATGAGCACAGTGAAGTAGAACCAAAAAATGATTTTCATGGCTTGTGTTTGAACTTAAAGCTGTTGCCACTCGCAAAATATGGCCAGAAAAATAAAACTCCAGCACCTCAATGTTTTTTTTCCACCAAGAAAATTTGAATAAACATTTCTAAGTGGAAAAAGTCTTGTATATTGACCTCCACTGCTCTGGCAACTATCTGTGTGAGAGAACAGAGCTGCGCAGATGGCGTTGTAACAGTCCCGCCCTCTGCAGATGATGTGTCCAAGCCTCAGATCACTGTGCACCCCGAGACGACCATGGCGGTGCTGGGGAAGGACATCCGCTTCACCTGCACGGCCGCCAGCAGCAGCAACTCGCCCATCACCTTTGCCTGGCGCAAGGACCAGGAGGTCCTGGAGGACGCCGAAATGGAGAACTTCGCGCACATGCGCGCCAAGGACGGGGAGGTGATGGAGTACACCACCATCCTGCACCTGCGGCGCGTCACATTCGCTCACGAGGGCCGCTACCAGTGCATCATCACCAACCACTTTGGCTCCACCTACTCCGGCAAGGCGCGGCTCACTGTCAACGGTATGCACACCTTTTCCACACTCCCAGGGCTATCCCTGCCTTTCCAACCTTTGCCACCTCACTATGGAGACCTGCAGGAACTGAAAGCCAAAAAATACCCCAAAATAAATAATTGAATAATAAAATCATTTCAATTTTAAATTAAATAATAAGCTTCATTTTACTCCTGAAGAATTAATCTGAAAAAAAAAAAACACTTTCCTGGAGTGTTTGAATTCTGTATAATGAGGAATTAGAAAGATTGTCTCTTTAAAACCAAGCAAGCCGGTTCAGTCCTGAATGTACTCTTAGTATACTCTCAATTAAAAAGGCTTCCCCCAAAATAAAGGAATCCAAATAGTTTGGTTTTTAACTCCCTCAGTTGATCCTTTTCCAAAAGTAAAAGTTGTGTTTGTGCTGCAAGTTAATTTTTTTTTTTTTTACTTGTTTAATAGGTTCTTTTATGTTGGAATTTGGAACTAATTGATTAACCCTCTTAATGAATGAGATTGCTTCTAAATTACATGCTTTCTGATTTTAGTGCAGATTATAAAGCATTGCCTCAGCATTAGAAAATAGAAGGATTCGTGTTCACTCTCAGTGCTTATGGTTTTATCTCTCTGAACGATATAATCTCATCAGTGCAGCTATTTAAAATGTTTTTATGTAGTTTAGATGAATGGACACACTTGTTCATACACTATAGCCAACACTGTAGCTTGTCTTAAATATGCATTGTAAGTGAGTAGTGAAATCCCACTATTCTTTCCACAGGTCAGGCTTTGTTAAATTTGAAGCGTTCTTGGTTTTCAGTGGATCCTGAGTTTTAAGAAGCCGGTTCGGCCCTAGTCTCACACGTGTTCTCTTGTCTGCACAGTCCTGCCCTCCTTCACCAAGACGCCGAGTGACCTCACCATTCGCACGGGCACCACCGCCCGGCTGGAGTGTGCTGCTGAGGGGCACCCCACGCCCCAGATTGCCTGGCACAAGGATGGGGGCACCGACTTCCCTGCGGCACGGGAACGCCGCATGCATATAATGCCCAATGATGTGGTGTTCTTCATCACAAATGTGAAGATCGAGGACATGGGGGTTTATAGCTGTACAGCCGAGAACACCGCGGGCACCATCGCTGCTAATGCTACACTAACAGTGCTGGGTAAGGGAGCAGCTTCTCAAGCAGACCTATACCATCATGTACTTGGTACCTCAGACCACCGTGGCGTTATTAATGTTGGTTTTCTTCAGCAGGCAGGCACACACATCTGAGCTGTTCATTGTGCATGTTCTTAAAAGCATAGTTTGCAAGGAGGCTTCGTTTGCTTTTGCCAACATACAGTACAATTGCACTCGTAAGATGCAGTTGAAACCTGCACTGAGTGGAACGGCAGCTTAAAGGAGGACAGAGATCGTTCTCACATTGACTGTTTTTTAGTGCAACTGAGAAAATGAAACTGAAAATGCTCAGTGTGATTATTGTCGAGAGCTGTCCAGCCAGCAGCCAGGGTTTATTTGGTTTCCCCAGACTAAATGAGACAAGGGGAGTGTTGTTGTCTGCTTGGATGTGTCGAAGGTGAAGGGTCAATAAACATTGGTGCTTGGGCCTGGAGTCTAATAGTAGGGAATTTGTCAAGCAAACAGTTAATAGTTATTTAACAGAAGGTTTCCAGCTGTGAATATGAGGCTACAAAACAGAAATTAAGAGAAATTATGTTTGTATTCTTCAAGTGGCTGTCTAATTATTAAACTGCCTGTATAAAACCATGGTACTCAAGTGGCTTAGTCAGAATGAAAAGGCTTAGCCAACACTGAACTTGCTTGCATTAGCTATGCATTGTAGGTGATCCAGTTTGTCTTCTCCTTTCTTATGTGTCTTTCATTTACTCCGAGGCTGTCTTCATTGAAATGAGATGTTCTTGTTAAATAACTTGACCATGTAGGCAGTAGACAGAAATATCTTAATCTCCATTTCAAGCAGAGAGGGATGCTGAAGGTTTCTCCTTTCAGTAGGGGAAAGAGCATTTGCGTACCTCTGCTAAGCCATTAGCTCAGAGGAGCTTTTAAGAAGTAAGAATACATTTCAAACTGACAACCTAGAAGGGGATCAAAAATCTAGTGCCTGTTTATAAGTCTACACTGTTTTAGATAATTCTGAGTGAGCCTAAATTGGGAGTAGCTGAAAGGATGTTAGTGTGTGTTTTACCACAGTAGACATCTCTGCATTTCTGTGGGTTTCGGGATTTCTCACCTGCGCTGGTGCTTTGTGCAGAGACCCCGTACCTGAAGGAGGCCCTGGAGGACCAGAGTGTTCTAGTGGGGGACACGGTGGCACTGCAGTGCAAGGCCTCCGGCAGCCCCCCGCCGCGCATCACCTGGCTCAAAGGGGACGAGCCGCTGAAGCTGAGCGAGCGGCACCACTTCACCCCGGGCAACCAGCTCTTGATCATCCGCAACGTGGAGCCGGAGGACGAAGGGAGGTACACCTGCCTGATGTCCAACACCCTGGGGGCCGAGCGGGCCCACTGCCAGCTCAGCGTGCAGCGCTCCAGCGGCTGCGCGGTGGATCCAACCCGGAGGGACAGCACCATGACGGTGGGCATCATCATCATTGCTGTGGTGTGCAGCATCGTCATCACTTCGCTGGTCTGGGTCTGCATCATCTACCAGACCCGCAAGAAGAGCGAGGAATGCAGCGTGACCAACACAGGTGGGTGCCACAACCTTCCCACCCGTAATATTGACAGGCTCCTGCTGGGCAAAACGTGGTGTTTCGCAGCGAATATTTAATACTTTGGCTTTAGAAAAAGTCTAGTGTAGGACAGAACACTATTATACAGCCACTGGCCAACATATTAAGAACCCCCAGGTAAACCACTAGACATGTCTTACTGGAAAGTAAGGATAGGCTGTCTTGAAGAGCATGAGGCACAATTCCATCACCTTTCCAGGCCAGATCCCAGTTCTATCAAACTTGATTGAATCAGTGCAGCTCGCAGCTCAGTTCTGCACACCTCTGCAGCTCCAGCTGTGAAGACCTCAATTCTTAGAAGAACAGAATAGGATTGGTCTGCTAGTATTTCTTTTTAGAAATGTCAATTCCTATTCAAGCCATTCTTGCTGCTCATGGATTTAGTGAGTGTTCTTTGTTCTTGGGGCTCCTGAATGTAGTACTAGATTCCTTAATATAAATTCCAATGAATCTATGTGTTGCGTGGTTTTTCGTCCTCCATTCTAAAATTTTCTTTTTGCTAAAAGTGTTTCTCAGAGCCTGTTGGGAATAACAATTTGTCCTAGTTGACAGCTCTTTGTGGCCTCTGGGCTATTCATTCTATTGCAATGGGAAACAGCGACTCCTTTAAACCAGGAGTCTGTGGCTACAGCACTGCCGCACCCCTCCATGCCTATCAAATGTCTGACAGTCTGCTTTGCTTTGAAAAACAGACGAGACCATCATCCCCGCTGATGTCCCCAGCTACCTCTCCTCCCAGGGAACGTTGTCAGATCGGCAGGAAGTCTGCATCAGAGTGGAAGCCAACAACGGCCCACAGCCAAATGGCCATATTGAAAGCAATGGTAAGGATCTTTTCCCCATGTAGAATTTAACTGCTTTCCTCCTGAAGTCTTTTAAGGAGTCTTAAATCTGGCCTTCGTAATAGATCTTTGATTGATTGCATATTAACTGGCAAAAGTATTTTCCAGTTGCTAAACTGTAACTGGACATCACTGATGTTTGTATCTACTTCCAGGGAAAAATCCCAAATCCCAGAACTGTTTTACAGAAATGGTAAAGATTACAGCCTTAAATTATTTGTACAGTAAAAATTTATTTGAAGACATCAGTGGGGGATTTTCAACAAGGGTTATATCTGTTCTCTCTTTGACATCAAAGCTTTGTTGATCACCCCTCTGGTCTTGCACTGCACAAAGAAGCCCGAGTCTTCCCAGGCCAGATTATTACTATATTAGTTTACTTCATCCAAGACAACAAATCATGAAACTACAAATCCCAGAGAAATCTGGTAATTGTACATTGACTTCAACAATACAAGGCACAGTGAAAGATAGGCAGCAGTTTTCAAAATAGGGAAAAATAACTTGACATGCTAAACTTAGCCTCATCACGCCAAACAGTGTCACATTCATTAGGATCTAACCGAACTACTGGAAGATAAGATATCAGAAACCACCAGATACTGGCAATTATATTACACGTAAACATAAAGCATGTTTGTTTGTTTTCCAAGTTATTCTGAAGATGGTATTCTAAACAGGACTTAGACGCACCAATGGTCTCCAGCCACATCCTCAGTGGAGTAAACGCAGTAAAATTTAATAATAATAAATAATTCCTTACACTTTTTCGGACACTCCACTCAAAGTGCTTTACAGGTAATGGAGACTCCCCTCCACCACCACCTGGATGATGAGATGGCAGCCACAGAGCGCCAGTACACTCACCACACACCAGCTATCAGTGGGGAGGAGAACAGAGTGATGATAAGCCAGTTCACAGAGGGGGATTATTAGGAGGCCATGATTGGTAAAGGCCAATGAGAAATTTGGTCAGGACACCAGAGTAACACCCCTACTCTTTTCAAGAAACGTCCTGGGATTTTTAATGACCACAGAGAGTCAGGACCTCAGTTTTACGTCTCATCTGAAGGACAGGGCCTTTTTATAGTATAGTGTCCCTGTCACTATGCTGGGGCATTAGGACCCACACAGACCACAGGGTGAGCACTCCCTACTTCCAGCAGCAGCCTTAGTTTTTCCCAGGAGGTCTCCATCCAGGTACTGACCAGACTCACACCTGCTGAGCTTCATGGGGTTGTCAGTTGTGAGTTGCAGGGTGATATGGTTGCTGGCCAAAGATTATTAACATGTTGTCATTCACTCTTGCAACTTCAATCATGGGTGACCTACCTGCGTCCTGTGAATCACTGGCTGTTTCTTGCACTCCAGGAATATGCCGGATTGATACAAGGGGAAGCCAAGATCTGGAAAACCATGTCGACTTCAGGCCTGCAAAACTCTGCATCAGTGGCCCAGAAGGATGTAATGGAGAAGATGAATGTGAAGTGATGATGGATCCAGAAAAAAATGGTATGCATGAGCATCGATATTAAACTACTTTAAAAATCCTGAAGTTTCCTGTAAATATGATGAGGTTGAATTAATCACTTAAAGATAGGTGCTTAAAGCTAAGGTTTTTTTTTGAAGAATTTCTGGCAGATTCCTTACATAGATTTTTGTTTTGTTTTTGCAATAAATGCATATCTTTATTTGCAGTTAGAAACCATTAACAATCTATCTGTATATTGTTATTGTTATATATTATTATATGCATTGCTGCCACAATTAGCACCATAATTGTGTCATGTTTTTTATTTATTTTAAAGCATTGTTAAATGTTTTTTTGTGTTTGTGCCATTAGGGTATGGTGTACCTATAGTCTGCACTGATTGCTTGGAAAATGCCAACAACTCAAGAGACCAAGAGCAAGTCTTCCAAGGGTTCCGAACTTTAGGAAATGCTCAGCACACACCTCGAAGCACAGAGCGCGGTAGACTTGATGTGGACAATTTAGGATCTTCGGATACTCAGCACTGTAACGGGACTGTGAATACTGTGAAGAGAGACGGCCAAGCACCAGTTTATCCCAGCAACCATGACAGGATAGCTTCGTCGGAAAGGCACTATGATAAACAAGGTAAGGAAAACTTACCTTTTCAAATTTCTGCACCCTCCACTCTGAAATCTGCTCCAGCATGGCAGTTTGCTTTACAGTAAAATCCTGAATTTTTGTAGGACTATTTTGTGGAAGAAGTATGATTGGGTTGGAAACTATATGTTGTGGTGCTGGCTGCAACCCTCAGCAGTGTGAAATCACTTGAACACGCACTTCCGTTTAATCATTATGTTCATTTCCCATGACCTCCAAAAATGATCTCTTAATTTTAAATTAAATTAAATTACTACAAAGAAACAATTTTAACTTTCAACTCAGAAAGTGGAAACATTATGGCATTTTGACGCTTGTGACACATAAATGCATCAGAGAATACAGAATCGGATCACCCACTTTGAATAACTGTGTTCTTTCAAAGTTATTTGTTTAATCGTTTGCTGGTTTTTCTTTTTATGTTTCTTAAAATATCTGTGTTAAGGGAAAGGTATTTTTTAAGGAATAAACTCAACCCGACCCATTTCATCAAAGCAGGATATTACTGTTTATTTTTATTAAATTGATTTATTAAAAAAAATACTAATCCCCTGGGCTAATTAAAACCTGGGCTTCAGCTATAAGCTTCAGAAGTAGAAGTCCCTGTATTTGATGATGGGTTAACAGTCAACGGAAGCCAGCAGAAAGCCAGCCCTGAGTAGCAGGTGGGCACCAGCTGTGGAGGGTGGGGTGTTGAAGGTTTGATTCTGTCAGGCTCCTTGTATAGGAAAGACTGCAGCTTTTAGGTGATTCAGGAAAATGAGGCTTGGTTTGACTCCGAGAAGGATTTCAGTACGTGTAACGAAATCCAAGATAGACTTGCAAAGCTAAGTCCACAAAGTAGAGTGTATTAAACTGGAATGGGTAATGAAAACACAACACTTAAAAAAATGGCTATTAACATTACTTTTTGTTTTACAGGTTCTTCCTCAAAGGATGCAGGAACTTCACTACCACTTGGTACTGTGTGTCCTCTGTCTTCAGAAGGGTCTTTTCACAAGCCAATTAAATTAGTTGCTCTTCCCCAGACCTCAATGGAAAATGACTGCGGGGCTGAAGTCAGACAGACTCTGCTTCCAAATGGACACCTACCCAGGACACGTGACGCTGTCAGTGAGAATACCCCATTGAGAAGAGCTAGTGATTAACGAGTGGCCAAGAAACCTCCTGTTCTTCTTTGCACTGAAAACGTTTTTTTTCCCAACACTACCTCAGCTTTGAAACAAGAAGCTCTCCAGCGAAAAAGGGCAGCGGAAGTTTGAGGTGGCAGCTTGTATAGGGTGAAACCTGTCTGAGCGTTAACATTGTAAATAATTTAAATTTTCCTTTGGGAAGCATCACTTGCAGATCCACAAGTGACTTGCATTTGAAGCATGCAAATGTAGGGAATATTGTACAGAGAGAAAAAAAAGTTTTATTGGATACGACTGTACATAAGAGTTTTCATATATGCAACTTTTACAGAGAAATTTTATTCTATTCAGTGCATGAAATAACGGAGTGAAAATATAACTTTTGAAATGTCTTTTTTCAGCCTTTTCAGTTTCCAAACAGTGGTGCCTTACTGCATGAACACAAAACACAAATCTGCCATTACCCGACAGCTATACCTTTCAGATTCATTTGAAATATGAGGTCACCTCGTTTGATTACACTTGAGATTTTTAAGTTCAAACTAAGTGCTGTCAGGACCTCAAATTACGCTATATGCAGTATTTCATGAAGGAAGAGCTTTGATTTCATTTTTCAGTGTCAGTTCAATAATAAAAGCTTTGTTAGAATTTCAAGGGAAATTGTTTCCAGCACTTTGTGTATTAATACTATAATTTAAAAAATGTAATAAGGCATTTATCGCCCTCAAAGTTCTAACAATGTAAACAGTTTTGGTATGGAGATTTTTTAGAACATTGTCTAACACTCTTTTATCAAGGCTCTTCCATTTAAAATGTACTAAAAAAAGAGACAGCTGCTTCATTTGGTGTTGATTACCCGTGGACATGATCCAGTTTCCCATTTTGTTAAGTAACTCTTACTTTTCTATTAAACTCAATACAAATCTGTTAACCTGTGGTGACGACAAGTGTGGACCACTTAAGCAAACAGGTAGAGTCAGGCTGTGAATCACAAATCAGCAATGTATTAATATTAAAGCTGCCTGTCTGGAATTATCTATTCTGAATTTTTGACAGAACTGCACTTTGGGGGCAGGTAGCTTACTTGGTTTGATATACTTTCTGTGGACTAAACAGGGACATGGTTTACAGTCCTGTCTCTTCATCCAGTAACCTATGTGACTCAGAACAAGTAAAGTACAGTCTGTTAATCAAAACAACAATTTAGTAATAAAACTGTGATTGTTTTTACTCCCAAAAGCTTATATATGCACTGCTTCTGACAGGCAAAAAGGAGAACAGTTGCTTTTCTGTAAAAAGGTATTTATGTGAACGTTGGTAAAGCAGTTGTACATTGATAAGAAAATGTAAAAAATTGAAGTGTCTAACATGACATTGAAGTGTCTTTATTAAAATCACATTTAATATACTGCCTGGCTCATTTGTATCATTAAACCTGTTTTCTTTGCCGTATTACATTAAATGGGGAATTCTAGGCAGTTAAACACCTCATCTGACAGATAGGAGCCTAGAAAATAAAAATATATGAATTTGTCTGTTTTGTGTCTTTTAATTTACTAAGAAAAATACCAACATTTTTCCAAAACATTTTAAAGAACAAGAAATTGAAGCAGAATACCCCACACACAGTCTTGGTATAAAATCAGTGTTAAATTTGAAAACTAATAAAACAATACATTCCCAAGTGAATTTAAATGAAATTGGAACATCTTTTGTCTCCTCAAATCTGTCAGTTCTTGGCTACATTAATGGCCAGGCTCTTGGGAAGGACCTCAAGTTTGTTTTACGTCCATTGCTTAAGTTTAATTGAGGAAATTCCTGCTATCGTAAAGAAACTTGATCAGCAAGTTGACAATGAAGAGGCAGCTGCAAAACCCTAAAATCAGTTTCATTCCATCCATCTTTGATAGAATACAAACCTACACCATTCATATGAAGTACATGCACATCTTTGGAATAAAAAACAAAAAAAATGTTAATGAACTGAAAAATGCATGGTTACATTGCATGAGTTAGTAGTTGCATTTCTTGCATTTGAAAGGGAATCCAAGGTGCACAAAAAAAACAGTTTTAACTCTCAGTATCCCTCACGAGTATAGTCAGAATAGCTTTTCCCAGATCCCTTAACCTTACACCGACGGCAATTTTGCAACTGAAGCTCTGCTTTATTAATCTTTTTTAGTGTTGAATAAAATATACACTTGGAATGAGTTCAAACCTAGGATTTCCATAGTCGCTGATGCTGCTTCAGTTAGGAATCCAGTCGTTTCTCAGCATGGTGCTGCGAACTTTCTCATATCCACCTAAGAAAATGAATCCACCAATGCTGATTGAGGCCATCCTAGGAACGCTGCCAGCAAACAATCTGTAAAGGCAAATTGGGAAAGGAAGCAGTTTTCCTGCTGTTAAAACCAGTATATTTTTATAGGTAGGAGATTTTTAATGTAGGAGAGGCAAGCAATAAAGATATTGAACTATGAAATTGATGATAACAGTGGCATATCAAAACCTGAACCATAGTGTGCCTTCTTTTAAAAAACATCTACTACATTTTGGGGACACAATATAAAAATCTAACAGAATCTTAGGATGCATAGTTAAAAGAATTGGTATCATTAAAATAATGCTGCTCTAGAAACAGTCCTGAGAGAACAGATCAAGTACATTCATGGGCTTAGAGGCGGTTATACAGCCTGTGTACATTGCTTGGTTGCTAGCCACAGATTTGCCTCAGCTGAAACTTAAAAAAAGGAAATCAACTACAGAAACACAGACCTCTATATCTATCAGAGCAGTGAAACAAACACTGATGTTATTAATTAATGTTATGACAGTATATAGTCAGACAAGCATCCTGGAACTACTACAAAGAGTTCCAGTTTTGCAGTTTTATGGGCAGAAAATGGAAAAGATGAATGTTAAACTATACACAGTGCATTACAAACCAATCTTCAATCAGCTGGGGATGTGAGCTTTGAATGAAAACCATTCTGAATAATTAATTGTAGAAAGTGCATCTAAAGACTAAAATTCATATGATTAATAAAGACTAAAAAATGTACGAAGGGAACTGGGACTATAACGTGCAGGCACTGCAAGGGTTTAAGGATGCAGCAGCTGCTCTAATTTCTTCAGCTGTTTCCAATATTAATCCTTACCTTGAGGCCGCTGTGCATGACTGATAGCCAGATAACACTGCTGTATGACTAATGTCATTCAATTATGCATATATTGGAAGGCAATATTACTGTGCAATGTACACATCACCCCTACTTTATTAATCTGGTGAAAGAGTATATAGAACAGGATATGCATGCCTAACCATAGATTGGGATTTCTATGAATATATTATCTTAAATTAATTTGTAACTTTCCAGTCCCTGCATAGTACATAGATCACTCACAAAAATAACAAAAATATCGTTGATGAACCTGTGCATCCTTTACTTCACTGCACTTAGACCAGGGCCATGAACAGACTAAGACTAACAAGTCAATATTATCAACTGCAAAACCCCACAAGGTACCGAACATGTCGAAGATCTCACACATTATTCAAACAATTCACAAACCCAGCATTTTAAATGCTCAGCTGAAATTCAGTGCTCCATAATATGTGTAATCTTACAAAAAGTAACATTTGTATTAAAATGTGATATGGTGCAAAATGGACAAGGATATTCATATCTACACCCTTTATACTGTAGGTATTTTAAAAAGAGACAAAAGTATAATTAAATATTTATGTATTTATGTATTAGCTAGGGCAGCACAGTGGCACAGTGTTTAGCATAGCTGCCTCGCATTGCTGGGGTCCTGGGTTCTATTCTGGACCTGAGGTGGAGTTTGTATGTTCTCCTGGAGCTTGCATGGGTTTCCTCTGTGTGCTCTGGTTTCTTCTCACAGTCCATAGACATACTGTTAGGTGAAGTGGATTCTGGGACAATTGGCACTGGTTGGTATGTGTTTTTTTGTGTCTGTCTGCCCTGAGATGGACTGGCATCCTGTTCGTGGGTACCCCGCCTTGTGGCCATAGATTGCTGGGATACGCTCTGGCTCCCCTGAATTTCTGAATTGGTTAAGAAATGGATGGATGTTCCTAGCTTGTTAGTATGTATAACAACTGCATTATACAGAGTAACTGAAATCTTTTGTTTGCTAAAAAAGACCTAACTGAAGGCTAATGTAAATGAAATAAACAAAGCCACGTTTTTGGGGGTATTTCTCAAGTATTGTGAACCATTAACAAAGATAAGGCGGACTACTGAGAACCGGATCTATGAAGGCCACATCAAGGTTGCCTTGGGGCAACCTTGTTGTGAAGGGCCCTATATATAAATACATTGAATTGAATTGAATCAAGGCTCTTCCAACTTTCTGGAAGACAGGGATGTCAGGGAGAAAAGCGCTGTTCCTCCAGGCTCTAGCTCTCTTGGCAGGCACTCTGGAGCTCGCAATACGTCAAACAATGAAACATCTTATCAGGTGGGTGTATCAGAAAATTCAAAATCTCCTATGGTTTGAAACAAGAAACATTGCAAAGTGGGTGTCTAAATCATATAAAATAACTATTTGGTGATCTGGATTTAAAAGAAAAAGGTTTAGTAATTCTCACCTGGTCCCTTTAATACTATTTCAACACCCTTCTCATGTGTTACTCCCTCTCATTCCCTAGTCATTTCCTGGCTCTGTATTTTCACAGCATGAGTAACCCCACCTGTGGCAAACAATTGGGGTCCATTTGTAACACCTCGCCCCCGGAGCAATGACTAATCATGACATCAGTAAACCTGCTACATCATACTCTAGCAGAGCTGCTGTGTATTATTCATCTTCCATCAAGGAAAAGCGCAAGTCAGTCCATGACTTAAGTTCTATAAATACTGAAAAGTGACTGTTCTCCAAGACTTTAAGAGAGCAGTTCTCATTAAATCTGTGGCAGTATAAATATGCTGCAAAATCCTACTTTCTCTAACACTGATGTTAGACACCAGTGCACTATAAATATGTTTAGGATTTTTTGGGTAGAGAGAATAAAAACAGCCCAAATGCTGTTGAACTGAAATGAATTGCTACATTCCGCTATCAATTTTAAATTGATTTAAGCAAAAATTTTTACTTTAAACAGTGTGTTGCAGCTGTCTGATGTAGACAAATTACTCCCTGGGAAGAAGTTATATTTAAACAGAGGCGTGCTTGAAAAGGGAAAAAAAAAAGCCACATTTGCAATTGAGTGAAAAAGGAAGCAGTGGAATTATGTCCCAAATGGAGATGGTTCATGTCTTTATTGAAAAAGCAGTTAAAGTTTAGGGGGTTTCATTGTAAATGTGGTATAATGTGAACCTCTGATTGCAGTTGTTTTGGTTTTTGTGGTAATGAACTCTGCTCGGTGCTCAGAGCAATCAGACAGATGGAAGCAGTTTATAGCTTCACTAGACAGCAATTGGGCTTATTACCATAATTATAGCTTTAAAGGAGAGCAATTTGTACAAGGCATGTACCGGCGGAACTGTCAAGGATTTACTCAATGGAATTATAGTACCTATTCTAATGCTTTCTTAAAGGAACTATCTACTGCAATCAGGAAGGAACACGAGAATTCCACCTAGGTTTTACTTCTTACTAACTTCACCATTTCACAAAGATAACATTTTGCTCCTACAGTATCTGGACAAACTGAGGTAGCCTTGACTTCAGTTTTTGACAAGTATGAGAAACATAAAAAACAAACAGGAAACCAACAGAATTTAGAAGACAGCTGCAAACAGCATTTGAGAAAACATGGCTTTCCAATGTTTTCTCATCATATTTAAAAGTTCCCATTCAAAGATAAATAACATTCATAACATTGTTTTTGTATGTGTAACACGCCATCACTAGATGTTTATTTTCAACATTTAATTTTGATGTCAGAGTGCTATACGCATTAGTCGGGTAGCAGATGGTTTCATCCTGACGCAAGATTAAATGTTTCTGAGTCACAGATGAAATTACACACTAGCGTTTGAAGTGATTTATGGAACTTGATTGGCAGAATATTTTCAAAAGTATGGAACCAATAAAACTTATTTAATGTACTTCATAGTCACTGCAAGGTTATCATTTGTGGTTTTCTTTACAAGACAATATAAAAGCTAAAACAAAGAAAATCTCAGATGATAAATTTACAGGCCACACTAGTTGACAGTTTTAAAATAATAATACCATTAATTCAAATTATTTTCATAAGGGACCTTTTTATTTCATATACTCTTTGTTTTTTAATGATAGTACAAGGTCAGTTTTAAAGCTTTTGGAATGATATAACTCATGCTTTTGTTTCTGTGCTAAATAAGTTCTATTTTTTACCAACAGAACAGGTGGAGGACATGAAAGATAAAAGGGAAATCCCAATTAAGATTTTAGTCAACCATTGTGGAGGTCAAATCATGAACTGCTGTGTTTTAAAAAACAGAGCAGCACTTAAAAAAAATAAATGAGAAACATCAGACTGAAGTAAGTAGATGAACACAACTTATCAATCAAGAATTTAGATGTCTGAATCACACTAATAACACGAATTGAAATACGTCAAACCTGCATTGAGGGTGATTACTTAACAGGAAAAAGATCACTATCCTTAGTATTCACAAAAATTAAACTCAATCTTAGAGGAAGTGTAAAAGTCTCTATGCACTCACCCAGGGACACCTCTGCTTCTCCATACTTCATACATGACACTCAGAATGTTTCCACTAGCTGTTTGTGTTCCTGCCTACATCACAGCAAAACAGGAAGGGATCAGAATGAGTAAAACAATGAAAAACCAAAGCATTATGATGGATGCCCTGTGTTCTTTACTTCCTCTGACATGCCACATCCACAGACATACAACTTGTTTAGTCTACCTAAACAGAAATTACTGTCAGAAACACAGGTGAGAATTCACTTCCTGCTGAAGAAGCAGGTGACCCATGGTAACCTATTCTATAGGTATCTGCTGTAGTAACAAATACCAGTAACCTCAAATAATTCATCAGGCTGTGCATTCACTGCACTGTGAGCAACAGTTAAAGAATGCAGGTATGTAGTTTATATATGGTAAAGAGACAAGTTGGTGAGCCACTCTGCAATGATAATTGGAGTTAATGTTTTGAATTATAAACAGCAAGGCATGTTTTATTATTATGCTGTGTTGTAGGAATAAAATCCATGATAATTTATAATGATTGGTCTTTAATTGATGAAAAGGGAAGGAAATGCTATTAACATATACATCGGTGTTTAAAAAACTGTTTTCTTGGTTATTAGGAAATAAGAAAGAAATGGAGCATAACCATTTCTCTCTTTTGACAGAATTTATTTTCTTTTAGCCAGAGAGCTAAGGAATGAAGTTTCTGTGGTCCAAAGTACACAGGCCACACATGTAAATAATTCTCACCGTGCAAGCAAGAGATTTACTTTTTTAAACATTTCATTTAAAACATCTACAGCCATTCTTTCTCCTGCTTGGAACATGCAAAATATTAGGGGGAAAAATATTGCAAAATCAGGATTCATGCCTATTGCACTTTAGTTTTAGCTGGAGAAGTGGAGGCAAATCTTTGTTTTGTTGGTGAACTGTAAGATACTGAATGCTATCCAATCTTTGCAAAGGGCTGTAAAACTTGTCAGATCAGCTTTGCATTTAGATGACCTCAGCCAAACTGAGACAACACAAGAATTTCCCCCCCGAGTCTATATCATTAACAAATGACAGTAAACACAGAGGATTTAAAATGATATTGTTGGCTTTTCACATTAATGTTGCTCAGGACACGACACTTTAGCTTTAGTGGCATTTGGAAAGAGCTGTGACTTGTTATTCAGTCATAACTGATGCTAATAGAAGCTGGATGCTGGTACACATACCTATGAACTGACACAATGACAGACATGATGAGAGGAAATACACGGCCAAGGCATTCTGCAGGCACTGGCACACTCACAGTTGAAACACAACAGGATGTTTATGCAAACCTGTCAGGCTGTTTAGTATTCAAATCTTTACCATTAAATAATGCTGGTATCCAACTTTTTTCATTTTACAAAGTGATTTTCAGGCTTTGCAATCAAAGGTGGTGTTGTTACATACCATTAAAAACTGTCTATGAGCTTTAAGCCAATCAATAAATGATAACGCAAAGGTTTCTAAAAAGAAGTTCTGTTTTTACTAATATTCATTATGTGACCGATATACAAATATAAATTATACATTACTTTTTAACTTAACCCAGCATTTACATTTGTTTTAACACTGCAAATTTTTTATGGTAAAGACAAATGCGTCATTTGTTATCACTGTTTTATGGTTAGTAATAACATGTCCCTAATAACCATTCTTCTCTGGTAAGATATCTCTCCCATCTTTTGCAATTTCTTCTTCTTGTACATATTACTGGGGCAGCAGTACCTTTGTAGCTGCCTGCGAGTCTTACCTTTGCCAAAATGATTCTCGTCTTTGCTACATCCAAAGGTGCAGTGACAAAAGCTGCAGCTCCACCTGTATGTGCCCAGACAGAAAAAAAAACCCGTGCTTCAATACTCGCATTGTTTCAAGAGCTGTCCTACGCAAGTGACTAATTCTTATAATCCCTGTCAAAGATCATTTGACTGAAAGTTTGCATTATTTTAACAAATGCAGTTTGCTTTGTTGTCAAACAGTGCGCAGACTTCTGTAAAATAAACACCCAGCCGTAAGAAGGTGCGCCGAATCAAGATTTTCAAGTATGAAGCCACAGCAAGAAGAGGCTAAAAAAAGGTACGCTCACACAATACGTGCCAAAACTACAGCACTTCGGTCAGATAACCCTGGCATTTGATCTTGACTCCTGATGTCATAGAGACCGTCCATTACGTATTAGAAATTAGTATACCACAAACTAGATTGGCATTCAACAGTCAGGTTCGGACTCCTGGACACCCAATGGTGTATTTTCTCTTACTGGGAGATTGAGTTTGTGTCCTCCATGCCCACATGGTCAGAGGCTGCTACATTTCTTACTGCAACACTAACATGCAAAGTGCTCTGTGGAAAACTGTTTTAAAGTGCATTATAACAATCCATGTTTGTTTGAAACTGTTGAAATAAAGTCATACATTTATTGATATTCAAAAAAATTCAACTGTTTTTTTTAGAAGAAAATAAATAATTATAAGTAATGTGTACAATAACTCAACAGTAATAGAAAGTGAAGGAATATTCTGGCATAATTGTGGCCAGCTAACAGATATTCATGTCATGTATTCATGTCAAATGCACCTCTAATAGCCTATAGCAGTACACAGCTCCAAGGTTATACATTGATCTATTACTTCTAATATAGTTTTGCTAATTAAACTTGTCTATGATACTGGTCCTATCTCACCAAATATGAATTAATCCAAGCTAGTGGTAGTTAAGGTGTTCCAAATGAATTAACTAATTAAACTAATTTCCATAAGAAAATCTTCATTTTAACCAGACACATCAAATGAAAACTTTTCTAACCACTTCTTCCAGTTGAGGATCGTGTGGGAGCCGGAGTCTATCCCAGCAAGCAGAACAGAGTTTTATTTTATATAATTTGAGTGAAGTACTAAGAAAACAACCAGGTCTTCTACATGAATCAATCTGACATCCGATGTCCAGAGTTTTTGAAAATGGACCGCGAGTGTGAGGTTTGTGGTTCGTGAACCAATCCATCTTTGCATTTCATAATAAAGCTATTGAAGTGCCTCATGCTTTTCATTTGACAATTACTTATTACATGGACTGCAACAACCCCGCACTGCCTTCAGCATGTGACAGAACCATTTGCCAGTTTCAAAAGAGACTTCCGCTTCGATACTGTTGTAAGTTGAACCTGTCATGACTGTGTGGCAACTGTCAACAGAGAACCAGACTCTAACCTCCTCCTACACTTCCAATGAGCATCTTTAACAGATTCAGCCTGTTGTCCTAGTGAAGCCTGTATGCATCTGTTTCACCCTCACAGCCTCAACACGGGTCTCATAAACTCAAGAACGATCAGCGACTTCTTGTGGCCGATACTATTCGCCTTGTCAATGTTTTACACCCCAAGGTTTGTCTTTGAATAGTGTTTTCTTAGGTCCCCCAAATACCTGCCCTCAATAAATGTCTAATTTAACCTGTAGATCAACTAAACCTAATTAAACGGAAAAAATAACTGTTGATAAAAAGAAAAATGCAAGATCTGCATAGATGTCTCATATTAAATGTTCTTTAATCAGATTTTAAAAAAATGTACAGATTAGAATAGGATGCAGAACAAGACATATCATGTGAAATTTGATTATAATTAATTGTAGTAACTTACTTAATGTTGCATTTAAATTAGGAATATAACACTAAATTTAGGGAAGGTGTGAAAGTTCCTTCCTTTAAAAACCCTGCTCTAGCTCTGAGTGTCCTATTCTGGGATCTTATTCACATATATGTTTGTATTAGTTTTCTGTCTTAACAAAATATCTTCTAAGCTGCCTGTACTATATAACCCTCTTGTCTGAAACACCTGCTGTTTACTGGCTCCTGTCTCTCCATCTAGGCTGGCCTGTACTGCTTGGATAATAGCACACAGCCTCTGAGCACTGCAGGGCTCTGCTCTCTAGGCAAAACTCCCAAAAATGTACCGTATGTTTCTGCAATTTAAGAAAAAAAGTTCAATAATAAAAAAAATGAAAAGTGATTTTTGTAACACAAGTGTGGTCCTCGTATCAGCCCAGTAACATTCCCTAACTAATTTGTACTGTTCCCACTTTTAATTGCCATAACTTACTGTAACAATACAACACAATCCAGGTAGATTGTGTAAAAAAAAAAAGTACTCTTCAGTACCATCTTCAACTATTAATTTGACAGCTTTCTAAATGCTCACACTGTTTGTCTTTTTTTTTCTTCCGATTAAGCAGTGCTCATTTGTTTTGTGGAAAAACCAAGATTATGCATGCTTCATTTTAATTTTAACACATGCAAACATATTTAAAAGGTGATAAAGAAATGATTATGTTTTCAAACTTTCCCTTTAATAAGGTAATTAAACATTTTAAATAAACATTTAACTGGATGAAGTGATAAAAGCACCCAGAAGATGTCTCTTTAAATTCTAGCTGTTTCAGTCCCTTCCCATCCTTGGGAATAGACATACCAGGTGGAGATGGCCTGGAGCCATCTTGAAGCCGAAAATGGCAGCCCTCTGGCCTGAGGGTGTTCCGTCAATATCCCCATCCACCCGACAACAATTAATCTGTTTTCTCTGTCTTGGCTGTCACATGAGCTGTGAATTATGGGCTCTTGCTGAAATCACTTCAAGTCCCAGAAGAGCACTTTAGGTCAGGCAGCTGTGTGGCCTAGCACCCAGAACAGGCCTCCTTCTGCTAGAAAATATTTGCAATCATCTACTGCAAGGATGTGTGAGCCTAGTCCAACAAACTTATTTTCTAAACTGACAGAATTCAAGCAGGGGGAAAGAAGTAGGCAAGTCAACCTTTTCAAGCAAGTGTCCTTTATTTGATAGGTTTTAACGGTCTGGTATTCCTCGACTAGAAAAAAAAATCTGTTGCAACTGCATCTACCTTTATGGAATTTGTCAGGAATGCTGCTTTAGTACACTTTATATATTTCTAGATTGTCTCCCCCCCTTAGCATTTCCCAGGATAACATATAATCCCTTGCACCTGCAAAAGCTCCACATAGCGCAGCCTGCCAAGGATACAGCACATGACCTTGCTTCCATGACCAAAGGCTCTGTAGTGAAGGAAAAAAGGGAAATTAAGTTATTAGTTGCATGTAAAAGCACCAGAAACCCCACTGGGTCAGCTCCTAAGGATGGGAACCCAAGTGAATTTCTATTTTTGTGTCCTTTTTTCAATGTGATGTAATGAGCTCACTTTCCCAAGCAATCTTCACAGGACACTAAAACAAGCAACTGGAATGCTGCAAAAGGGTTGGAACTTCTGAGGTTCAGTGAAAAAGTACAATATATGTAAAGAAAATCTGTCGATTTGCTCAGATTTTGTCATTTGTGAGGATTAACAATTTAAAAATTTAAATCAAGTATCAGACAACATATCTTTAGCAATAATGCAAATGAATAAAATATTTGAATTTACTATTTTGCTAGAAATGTTGCTTTTTTGTCGAGCTTTCAGTCTCTTTCAGGGTTGTCAACAGCTTCTGTTGTGCTGAAAGTGTGAAGCACAGAATAAGATGAACTGGATTTAATACCCTTCTTATAGTCTGTATCACAATCACAAGTAAATTTAGTAGGTATGAATTATCCAATGAAGTTATGTCTTTCTTGGCCTGATGGACATTTGATTGGACAACTTAAACTATATTCATTATTTAAAGAAGGAACAAATTATTGATGAGCATTAGATGGGTAACTGTATTATTAGATAAACTTTATTTGAGCTGTTTGAGAATTGTCAATGTGACAGTTATTCTTTGGTCTTTACTTAACTATATTGATGTCAATTTAAAGATATCTAAACGGAGCACTGGAGAAAAATTATTGTGAAGTGGCCTATTAGAAATTATTTAATAATCACCTTCACAGGCCTTTTGAACGTTTTTAGATTTACTCATGGATAGCAATGAAGCAGGTGATATCAGATCAATGATTTATTAAAGAGAGAGAGCCTATCTTGAAATGTTCTGCATGTTCATTAAATGATTTAATTCATGGAAAAGGTACACATTTCTGTATTGAATTTTAAGGTTTCACTGAAAAGGTTTGCACTGACAAAGTTCTAAAAACCCATTCCTACTTCTCTAAATAGCAAAAAATTTAAATACTCAAGAACATAAACCATGAAGAGTATTTTCTAAAAAAGGTTTGTGTGCACTGGGAATGGATGTGGACCTCTGTATTTATTCTTTGTGAACTGCCTCATTTGCCCTGATAACCCCGTCTTTTCATTCTCATCCAAGCTCCAAGTGTACACTAAACAAACATTTAATAGAAAAAGAGAATGATTTCAAATGGAATTTTTTGAACATGCAAAATTCTGCAAACATTTTAATTTCTCCATTACATGGCGCCTGCTGAAAGGTACATATTTCAAATAATTAGTGATCCTCTTTGGAAAAGAATTACAATTGTTCAGCTGGCCCAAATAATAGATGCTTGATTGCTTTAAGGAATGCCATTTGAAGAACAGCATGAAATAATTAGATATATTTTTTTAAAGGGGCACTTCCCCCCACCACCATGCAGACACACACCCTTCACCAGCATGTGCAGTGGAAGGGCTCTGCTAAGTGCCAAGATGTGTCATGTGTATTCCATTAACTTGCAGATTGAATGGGAGACTTTGTTTTCTACTTCAAAGGATGCCGTCGCAGAGAGCCATCCCAGTCTCTCGCTCTTCCCTTATGAATAACAAATTGGAAGTAAATCCGCTGGCTGTGGTGCATGGAAACTTGCACAGCCTGAGCTCTGTTCAACTTCCCTGCTCTCTGACCCCTGTTTTAACTCTTTCTGGTTAGCACCTGCAGCAGGCCACAGAGCTGGAGATGGTGGGGTGGGGGGGAGAATACATTTTGAAAAGTTATTCTTTTCAAAATAACTTTAAAAAGGGAAACGTGAATGAGATTCTGAAAACCGGAAAACTCTAGAACACCGTAACAAAACATTTGTGGCGATCATTAAAAGAATCATATGCAGAAAATTATAGGCTATAATTAGATTACAGCACAATAACAGAGGTTTTACTTCCCTGGGAATTGATGTAGATCAATGGTTCACAAACTGTGGTACGCGTACTAGCAGTGGTACGCGGAGCGCCGTCAGCTGGTACGCCATATGATCCATAGTCTTTATTGTGTGCGCTGAAAAATCGGGACGGTTTTCATATTTTCTATTTTAATACGTGTCGAATACGCAGCCTACGTACTGTGATACAGTGCGCGCTAATACTTCAGTGGACACAAGAGATACTCTGTAATTCTATACCACTCTATAGGAATGCGTGCTACGGACGAAGTGACCAATTGTATTTAAAAAAAAACCTATCTCCAGCAAATAGGGAGGTAGGAGAATGTGCGTGATTTTGGAACAATGCCAACGTTGTAAACACAGGAATGCATAGAAATACGTGCTACTAACGCTTGTAATCTTGTGAGCACAAGAAAGCGTGATAGATAACAGAAACATATTTAAGTTCTAAGTTAATTTGACAAAAATACACAGAGCGTCTCTGCGTTTCGCTCCCATGCGCATGAAATAAAAACTTAAAAATAAATACGGAAATAAAAACAGAAACGGGGAAAAATGCAAGCTTGCGGATTGCTAAAGCAGGTAAGCTCCACACTATTTTTGAAGAACCTTATTTACCGTTGACAAAAGAGCTGACACGTATTATGTGTGGAGAAAAAGCTGCTAAACAGCTCGACCTGCTGCCCCCCTGAAAGACACAGTCATTCACAGAATTATTGAAATGATATCAAAAGTACGCTGATAGAGCGCGTTAAGATGAGCAGATGTTTTTCACTGCAATTAGCTGAGTATGTAGTAAATTTGGCCAATTCACTCGTTTACTTTAGATACGAGTTTGAGGGTACGTCCCATGAGGACTTTCTGTTATGTGTGCCACTACCAACAGGAACTACAGGAGACCACATATTTCAGCTTCTGAATGAATTTATCGAAGAGAATGGCATCGACTGGATAAAATGTGTCGGAGTTTGTACAGATGGTGCTAGAGCGATGACAAGCTGACATAGCGGTGTAGTTGCACGAATTAAAGAGGTTGCTCCAGAAATTAATGGACGCATTGCAACATTCACCGCGAGAGCTTTGCATCAAGAAAATGCCTGACGATTTAAAATCTGTTAGACTCTGTTGTGAATTGTATAAAGGCACGAAAAATGAATTCACATCTGATTTGCTCGACTAAACAGGCTCACCCCTCTCACTGAAGTGGTGCTTTTTTATTATTTTTATTTGTTGTTGTTACTGTTTTTTTCTGTAAAACGCATTGAGAAGCCACATTTAAATGCGCTATATCAAAGTGTATTATTATAATATTTATTATATGTATGTGTGAGTGTGTGCACACACACTCATGTTGGTCATTGAGAATTTCTGGGGTTCCTATGAGATGATGACTTGTAGGTGGTACTTGGATGCTTTGTTTGGATTAGGGGTGGTACTTGGTCCAAAAAGTTTGAGAACCACTGATGTAGATTATTTATTTGTCTTCTTCAAAGTAATGTAGTAAAAGAATCAAATAAGCAAACAGAAACCTTAGATATATAGCAAAAGGCATGAATATTAAATCAGGAGAACCTATCCTCACCTCTACAGAGGTTCGATAAGATCTTACTTAGAATATTTTGTTCAGGTTTGGTCTCTATAACAAAAAACGTATGCTATAGCCTTAGACAAAGTTAAAAAAAGATCAGCAAGAGTGATTCCTCGTCTTAGGTGACCGTGATTGTCATATACAAATGTATTAAGAGAACTAAATCATGCCTGTGTATAATAACATATACAGTATCAAGAGATTTGATGCTGTTATATAAAATCCAAAAGGATAAAGACAAGGTCAACAGAGGGGACTGGAATCTAAAAGGAAAATGAGCAATACGAAACATTTTTTAGAGTTATTGTTGGTGTATGGGGACAGGGTCCCCAGCCATGCTCTAGCTAAACTCAGGTTCAAAATTATAGACCTACTTATCTTCCGCCATCAAAATATGGTAGCAATGACATTCTCTTGCAAGCAAGTAATTTCTACTCATATATATAGACATTAAGTATTGGTAAACCATATCAGAAGCAAAGTTATTCACTAGTCTAAAAACATACTTACTTGTGGACTATGTTGATTTGCAATCTATAACAATTCCACATTTACTAAACATTCATCCTAGCATGAGGCAGCAGGCATTCTAGAAGGAACTGAGTAATAAAGAAAAGAAACAGGTGCCTTTATTTTTCTGTATTATCTGTTTTGTGTGGAATAATGACCTTCCACTGCAGGTTTCAAAATATTAATTTATTTATTTATTTGAGGCTCATAAGGAATTCTCTCTTAATAAAGAAGTGACAGCTTTAATGTGCGAGGTACACATATATAAGAAAATAGAATAATTATCATTGTTCCTTCATGACCATGACATCAGAGCTTTGTCTCCACCAAATAAACAGCTGTTATGTGGCTGTTTAGCAGGCTAGTGGCTGTAAAAAAAGAAAAAAAAATCCAAACAGGAAAAAAAAACCCTACTCTGAGCAGATGTTGATTCTTCCAATTAAAATGCCACACAGCATGGGCTTTGATGAATCAACTATATTCAGAGTGTGTGGTACACGGAAACTTCTTGGCTTGACCTATTTAAACCATAAGACCTGCAACCCGTAATACCAAACAGCTACTACTTCACTTTTGCAGGAATCTCCTGAAAATGGGCATCAATTCCACAGAATTGTGGTGAAGCAAGCCAACCCAACCAATACCATTAACAATAAACCCATAGGAGACCAGGGCATTAAGATTTTACTAAACAATCAGGTTCATTTTAAAGCCTTTCATTCTGACTCTCTGGGACTTGGTGTCAGTGACACATAAAGCATTGCTGAAACAATGTTTTTGTTTTGTCACAGGGAATGTACATTAAAAGGTAACATCTCAGTTGGGTCTAAACTACATGTCCCCCAAGCCCGTCTACATTGCATGGGTGACAGGGCCTTCTCCTGTTATGCCCCCAAGCTCTGGAACTCTTTGCCCAAGGATATCAGAGAGTCACCTTCTCTAAACTCCTTCAAATCCAGACTCAAAACCCTCTTCTTCAGAAAAGCCTTTACTTAACTCGTTCCATTCTTCACCCCTCTGCTCTTCTTAGTACCACCATCCACTCGTTAGTACCACTACCCTATTTATTGTAATTGTGTCTTATCTTGTGTATTCTCCTTATTTATTGTTATACTCTTCTTATTTATTGTTATTGTCATCCTGTAAAGCGCTTTAAGAAGCCACCTTTAAAGGTGCTATATAAAATAAAGTTTATTATTATTATATTATTATGACATCAATTTCTCATTTTTTCATTTCTATTTTAGTGTTGTGTTGGTATGCTGGTTAGCCGATGATCCACTACCAATATACACATTTCCTCGTTACATAATATTTGTGCCACAGCACGGAGTTCATACTGTATCACTGTACAGTGATTTAAGCAGTAAGTTTGCCTTCTTTATTCACTAACACTGTTGAACAACTTCAGGTTCACCCTCAAAAGCAGGGAGAGCAGACAGTGGCCCTCAGGCTTCGGAAGATCTGTGACTAATTTAAATGAAAAACAGCAAGATTGTGTCTTCTGATATTATCCAAAACAAACACAATGCGGAAGACTCAATTTTTCACTTAATCAGACTCAAAACGTCAAAGTGAATTGACTAAATATTTGGACAGGTGACACGCAAATTTAACTTCATGGAACTACAAAGGATCAGATTTTGTTGTTTCAGGTTCTGGCAAACTTTTTTTCACTTTTTTGTAAAACATTTATTTAGCTGTTTTTTTTTTAGCAAAATAGAATTTCAAATGTTTCAGATCTGCAATTGTGATCAAGACTAAAGTTTCAAATTCTAGTATTGTACACAGAATGACGAAGCATCAACATGAAGATGGCAGAAGGAATGTCTTTGAAAGTGTGAAACATGAACTGAATGACAGTTATTATTTCACTGAGAGCGGGCAACGTCTCCCTCGCGGCTGTCTGCTACATTGTCCTTTTCTGCTGAACAAAAATTAAGCCATTATGCTAATGGAATTTAGTGTTCCTACTGGCTACCCAGGACATCACGGCTACGAACGTTACACTAAAATCACTTTTATGTTTGAAAGAGCAGACATCTTAGTGACATAAACTTTTCTACATCATAGGCCAAATGACAATAGCTCTGTTTAATAACATCTGAGATAACCATAATTGAGGATATAAAGTTAGACGTTTATCCCAAGAGGAAAGCCAAGATAAAATATTGCTTCAGCCACAACTGTAGTAGCATGTAACCAGTCTTATTATTGATTAATCATAAACTATGGCTGTCAACACCAGGGGGAAAGTACATACCTTCAAATACTCCCATAAAGGAAACTGCACAAGTGAGAAGGGAATCTGAAAGTTGAAAACAGTTGAAAGGGTTAACAATGAAAACAAAAATGATACACAAGGGTTAACAACCAAAACAATAATGACTAAAGTCAGTTATTTTGTTAACAATATATGGTAAGATTATAGAAATATCATAAAAGAGCAATAAGGTAACTCAAGTCTATGCACCAGGTGTATGAAACAAACAGGGATTCGTCCTGCACAGAGAGAAGAGAAGCTGTTGTGCCCTCAGGGGAGTTTTAACACTTGAGAATGCAGGTGTGTTGACACCCAGTTTCCAGAGGCCAGACTCAGTTGCTATTGTAACCTTTCTTTCACACCTGCTGTGGAATCAGTGTTAGTGATGTCCACTAGCACAAAGAGTTTGAACTATACCAAAGAAAAAAAAGCAGCACGGTTTTTGTATATATATCTAACATGCTCACATTATCTTTTACATATGTGCTAAAATTCTGCAGACTGACAAGTTGCATGTTTTTTTTTTCTTTTTCACCATTCAGTTTTTTGTAGGTCATTAAAACTTGAATTGCATTAAATTAAAAAAAATGTTTTCCATGTTATCTTCTTTAATTTAGAGCTATAATTCACATTATCTGATTTTTTCTTTTCAGGGCGGCCTTGTTTTGTCCAACACTTGCAAACATGATAGATCTTTCTGACTCGTCTTTTTTTCCCCATCAGATGTTGATGTTCTACTGATTCTACTTCTAGTGCATATTCTGCTGGACTTCAAGGGCAGGACAAAGTACCTGTCTTTGTGCTTTTCTGTTAAAGGATTCTTACAAATCCTTAGCAGTTTTAGGGTTTGTTTAGGTAAGAAGTGCACCGGAATACTTTCTAATGCCATCATCAGCGTCTTAGTGTCTTGTGTATGCTTTGTCTAGCAGGCACTGTGGAGACCATTTTATATATTTTTAGTAATGTGCAGACATGGTTAAGATTTGGAAACAGGTTTATTCTTCTTTGTCCACAATTCTAATAATTCATATTTCTTGTTCTCCCTTGGCACTTTTGCCAGATACTCATAATGAAAGAAACTGATTTGGTTGGTTGGTCTCTCATTAACTAAAAAAGGCATTAGTTCTGCTCAGAACCTCAGGATTCACTGGATCATTCATAAGGAGCTTACTCCATCTTGGATCTATGCTGTTAGGGGTATGACAGTAGATTATTAGGGTGCTTCAAATGAAGGGTATAACTTCTGTTTGCACACACAGGGGCTACTACTGATGGCATGGTGGGGAAAAGGGGTGTTCCTGCGTTATGTTCTGGTCCTATTTAAAATTACTTCAGAACTACTAAAAATAATTAATAAAAAATAAAAATCCAGCCAAATCAAGCTTCTGTTTTTTTAATAAAGCAGATAAAATGACTTTGAAAGCATAAAAAATAAGTCTTTGAGTCTTTAACTTGTCATATAACCTAATTATTTATATACTAATATTCTTGAAAGAAACACCATTTAAGGCATATTTAAAAGCAAGCAAAGGTCTTTATCTATGATGACATAAATTAATGGTAATTTGGTCGTACTGTTTCACAATGTCAAAAAGCAGATAATTATCCCCATAATGCCTGTTCTCAGAAGCTCCATAACCATGAAAAGACACCATATCAAGTCTGTTTCATTGGTCAAAGTACAGCTTTGAAAATGAAAAGGATTTGCGAGTTGTACACAAGATTTAAATGATTACAAACCCATTTGTTCCAGGATGTTTCATACAAAAATGTTTTCATGGTCATACGGGATTAAGCACTCAGAAAAAAAGTAGCACTAGTCTCACACACAGAACTGCCTTTTGGAATGGTCTAAAGGACATTTAGTATACAATTTGTGAAAAAAGTGCTTCCAGTGTTATACTGCTGACCAAAATGAAGGCATACAGACACTCAAAAACAACAGAGTTACAGAGTACAGAACACAGAACATAGGATGCCATGGAACACAGCAATTTCAAAGGAAAATAAAATAATAGTTTACAATGGAATAATCCAAGTGTATTGTACAGTCTTGTTCGTATAATTTTTCCTGTACTCTTGTGAGTGATGATTAATAAATGAGGTGACTCTTTTATTTAGGCCTCCAAACCACACAGATCTTGACTGACACCTGCCACAGCATGTTTGTTATCTGCCCTGGCAGGAAGCAGCAGTGAGGAGAAATCAATGTCACTGCAGTACAGAGAGCTGACAAGCTGAATTCTCTGAGGAAGCGTGTCATCTCCACCAGCAAGAGACTCTCCTTCTTCATCACTAGAAAGGTCAAACAGGGTCACTTGTGCCAGCCCCTGAACTGTGTCAGGGAAGGCACCGAACTAGGATTTTGGGGAAATATAAAATCAAACTCAACTATCGCATAGCTAATCTTAAAAATACAAACTATCAATCTTTCTTTTTCTTTCAATGTGAAGCCAATTAAAGCAACCTTCAAGCATCAATATCCAAAACACACTGACAGCTTGATGATACCATTTGCTGAGAATCTTCCTTCATACATTAAATATACTAACAAAATGATTTTGACAGCTTCCAATTTTTGTGTCCAGAATGTTTACCATAGATATCACATCCCTATACAACATCATTTGCCATGACAACAGCCTCACAGCTCTGAAACACACACTTAACAAATGTGCAGGGCTGGATCCCCCAACCCTCATACTTAAACGACTGGTTCAATTCCCATGCTGAATGCATTTTCTTTAACTTATCTTTTCTACTACCAGGTCAGCAGTGTCACCATGGGTACCTGGATGGGACCAAATTATGCTAACATCTTGCTTCTTCTTCTATACTGGCTTCATTCCAAAACTGTCTAGCAATATACTGATGTCTGTGTTGGTGCTGCCACCTGCTCTAACAATGAGCTACAGCAATTTCAGCCATCCATCTAATCCACTGTTAATGTATCCTCCACCAGTTTTCCTTTTCTGGAACTAAATTCAAACAACTTCCTTTACAATAATAAATAACAATAATAAGACATTTTATTTTATATAGCACCTTTAAAAGTGCCTCCTCAAAGTTCTTTACAGAGAGAGAACAAATAAATGCACAGGTTAGCTAGAGGGTGAAAAATAGCTATTTTTTTAGGCACAGGGGTAAATGCAGCAGTTTTGAAGGCTGTTGGTACCACACCAGTACTCAAAGGCTCATTTATTATGTTGAGGACAAGAAGCCGGCAGCAGAGAGACAAAAGGAATAAAACAGGGGGAAGGAGATCTAATAGGAGGTGGTAGATTTCAATTTACCAATTTACTAAGGAATGCAGCATTAAGTAGGGAGAAGTTAGAGAGAAGGAAACCAGCAAAACTAGACTAACACAGAAGAGGCATGAAGGCAACATGCATTGTAAATAGAATGGTTGCACAGTTGGGATGAGGCAGGTAGTGTTGTAGGTGAGTCTGTCTTAAGCAATCTGTTGATGGTGGAAAACAGGTGTCTAGGCTTGCTACGATTGCCCTCAGCGATGTGAGAGGAGTAGCTGGATTTAGCAGACACTATGGCAACCTCGTATTCAAGCAAATTAAGTTATTTTTATTTATTTTCTCTCTCCTTTATACAGTATACACCTTCCATCCCAAACATAACAACAACTATCTTCCTTTCCTATAGTATCTCAGACTATGCGCTGAAGAGACTAATTTCCACAAACTATTAAAATACATGTTTTAATTAAAATAAAGTATTGAGGGGGGATCCTTAATACTGCACTGACAGCCTCACAAGTAATTCCAATTCCCAGAACCACATTCCAATGGTGCTTTCATTTCACTCCATCACCCTTTCTATTCCATCAAACAAACCCCCAATTTGCAGGATGATGCTTCCACTGGAACTCTTTTTCCTGATCCGTGAATAAAGCTATACAGCCAACTATCTAATTTTCACAAAGGCTTCTTGTCCACAGTTCTAGTAAACATCCATAGCCATTCACAGAAAGACATCAGAAACCAAATCCTTCTCACACCTTCTCACCTTCCTCCAGCTCTGAATGAACTTCATTCTGAACTTAATTCTTTCTAAATCTCTCAAATACACATTTCTGCTTTCCATATTTCCCCTGGAAATCTCAAAGATGTCCATCTCTTTGGATGTCCTTTTTCACCTCTTCCTTCCCCTTTTCATAGTCCCTTTCTTTTCTCCTTATTTTCATATTCCTGATCACTTTCAATCAGGTCATTTAAACAACTGTTTTAATTTGATAAATGCTGGATAGCCATAATCCTTTTGGGAATTCTCATCCCAAAAAAGCAAGTACCTATATTGTTCAATCATTATAAGATATACAGATTCCAGTATTGTCATCCTAAAGAAATAAATAAATAGTTTGGGCTGATTATGGACTCATTTTTAATATATCCTGGTGCCGCTTTTGATACCATTTATACCATCTTACAGAATAATATTTGAAAAAAAAATTATTTTTTATGTATAACTAATTAATTGAATATATAGACTTTCACGTCTTTTGAAGCTTCTCTGGTACCCCTGACGTGGGAGCAGGATTTTGTCCTGCTTCTACTGGATCAAGATGTAAACTGAGGCTCTCCCCTCTGGAAACCTCTTAAATGTAACTAGTGGAATGAGAAGCAAGATCTTCAGATAATTTCCACAGGTAATTATCTCTGTGAATTCTCCCACAGAGATCCATATAAAACAAAACCGGAGCCTAGCACCTTCATGTGGCTTAAAACAGAGCTCTTGGTCTCTTTATGACACCACCTTGCCACAGCTGATGACACTTAAAACTCATGTCAGCATGAAACCTGACATTAATCAGATCTGTCATGGTGCTTCGGTGATACTAAAAATAGATATAAACGTTTCACATCTGACAAGACTTTAAGTTATGTTGATTTGTCCTCCTTATGAACTCTGCAAATGTGTCAACTTTAGTCTGGAATCAATCAAAGCCCCTAGTAATCTTTTGCCACTTTGTAACATTGCTCACATCATTTCATATCTTTCCCAACCTGATACAGAACACCCAATGCATGCTT